CTCGTATTTTAAACTTAAGTGTCTGATGGACAAACCCTTGGCCACAATAAGGTTTAATTGTGGAGCCCACACTCCCAGGATATCATGTAATGGAAAGCAAAAAACTCCTTATAGACTTTGTGTGTCTCATCCTTACTGATGCTTAGATACCTCGCCCACCATTGCTTGTTCACGGATTTAACGCATAGTCTTGTTACATACTTAATCTTTCTCTATTTACCATGTTATAATTATTCATAATTTGGAAAAATTATATTAGATTCCTCTTATCTCTCTCTGTTCCTTAACTTCTGGTGGCGGGATCTGTGCTGGAAGGTGTGTGTGTGTAAAGATGTGTGGCCCTAAATCTCCCCAATGGAAATTTATACAGAAAACAAATGACAACGTTCAGATCTGCAAAAAAGGTTTCCAGTCTCCTGTTTAAAAAAGACTGAAACAATGCAACTAATTCAGTTTCAGTGCTGTCGCAATCATCACCTCAATGGATAAAAATGAAATGTAAAATTCTTCCTTTTTTTAGACTGCTAATTTTTCTGAAACAAAATCTTGCATTTAGTGTAATACTTTACTTGTGACATAAAAACACCTCAAAGCTCTTTATTCAATGAGTTTTGTTCTACTGTAGTGACATGTTACGCAGGCAAACATGCCAGCTAATCTGTGCCAGTATCGTTCCACAAACAGCAAAGAGACAAATGATCTTTTGGCCAGGACTCGGAGAACTTCCAAATAATTCCCTAGGATCTTTATCGTCCACCTGAACAGGCAAGCGGGACCCCAATTTAGTGTCTCCAGCTGTTCTTGCAAGAGCTCAAGGCTGGTAAATACAAGTAACATAAGGGTTGAACAATGGATTTCCTCAGAAAAGCAGTTACTGGTACCTCAATGCCAGAAAAACATTTTGCAGCCTTTTCTTTGGTCAGTCAGGTGTCTGACATAAGCAGAAATCCACCACCATACTTAAAAGTATCCAAACAAGAGTGAGAGTTCTACATATGTATATCACCTGCACATAGAATAGTCTGGAACTGATTGGGCTCTCTCTCCCAATGGAATGTGCACTCACTCTCATTTTTCAGCGTAAAGTGCACCACCAGCCGAGAACCCACAGTGTATCACATTGACTCACAGGAGCTTGGTTTTGAGGCAATCTTGGGCTGGAGGTGAGATCTCCCAAGTTGGTGTGGTGTTCCTGATGGAGATGTAGTTAATGCCACTAACGTTACGGCTATATCACTCCCCTGAGCAGCTCTTTTTCATCCCATTGAATATTGTGACTCTTCCTACTTGTGTAATATATGACAAGGTTCACTGACTATCTTTCATTCATGCCCTGCTCTCACCTGTTGTGCATTATATCATTGAAAAGAGCTGTGTTTGTGTTCTTTAGGATAGGGTGACCATACGTCCCCGATTTCCAGGGACAGAGCCCACATGAGGTATTTTGTCCCTGGCCCATCAGATCTGGTCCTGAAGAGTAAACATCCAGGCAACAGGCCAAACATTCTCCTCAAACAAGGATTGATTATTGTTTGACAAAACTCTCTCGTAAATTAGTTTATGAAACCAGAAACAGTGTTTTCAGAAAATAAATAAATCTCAAACAGATACAGATGACTTTTGTCAAACACAATTAATTTTCAACATTCTTAAAATAAATATGCGGTTAATATGTTTGGTGTAAGTACAGACTGGTACTTTACTACAGCAACTTTTTTTACTACTTTACTACAGTAAATGATAGTTTTAGGACAGGTCATTAATGAAGAGCATGATATGCAGGCTTGCTGTAGATTAGAACACATAGTACTGTTCTGATGAAGAACCATGCCTGAAACATTAATCTACCTTTCTAATTCAGATGCTGAATGATTTCCTGTGAATTTCTAGAATTTTAATATTATAAATATAAGGGTACTGAAGATGACCATTCAGTCTCTTTTGGTGATACCTCCTCCACTGTCGCTACATACTCTAAACACAACAGCCAGCTCTGATCCCATACCCTGTTTTATGTTAACCATTCACAACTTTTATTATACCAGCACACATTGTTATCATTAGTGAGAATTTTAGAGCAATATCATTAGTGAGAACATAAACAGAAAAATAAATTTCTTGATAATAACAATCCCTGTGTTTAATATAGCACCTTTCACGTTGGGTAGATATCTCAAATAGCTTCATAACATATACTATCAAGTGTCATGACTGTGTATTTTATAGACAAAATCGGCAGTCAATTGGTGCACAGCAACATCCTACAAACAACCGAAGGGAATGACCAATTTTATTTCTTCTATATGGTGACTCCCATGTCAGTGAGTGGGAGATATCTTGACTTTAAAGAGGTATTAATCCTTACATTTGCATTTAATACAGTGCCTTTTGTGTCGGATTGATGTCTCAAAGTATTTAACAGGATTTTGCTGTGAGTTATAATGACTGTGTATTTTGTAGGCAAATGCAGCAGGCGTACCTCAGCACCTGATACAAAGCGACATTCCCCCAGCTTTGCACAGAAGCAGCAACCTAAACTGTGAGTTCAATATCCATTCACATGGATATGTATCAGTTTAGTTCAGTTGGTAGTATTTGTCTCTGGGTCAGAAGATTGTGGGTTCATGATTATAATCTTCTAGGTTGACAATCTGAAGAAACTGCTGTAAATACTGCCCTTTGGTTGATACCTTATTCAGAGATTTTGTCTTTGAGATCTTTCTCAACAAACTAAATTAACTAACTATTAATTATTAGATCTATGATTAACTCTTCCATTCCCAAATATTTCATATTTGTGACACCAGATGACATAACAACCTCTCCAAGGTCAAATTGATGAACCAAGTAGGTTAGTCAATCATCAACAGCGTCCTGGAGCTACAGAGTTGTCTGTCTCAGGTAATGGCTCACCGAGTATACAACAGAGAGTTGAGTCTCACATTAACAAATGTGAGTCTCACCATTAAACCAGCTCAGTCTCAGAGACTGGCTTACTCATCCTTCTTGGAAAATAGTCACACATTGGTCAAGAATATAGTACTAAACGAATAAATGAAGCATGATATTATGCAACTGTTCAGATTATATAATATTTCAGTGATTTAGTTTAGCGTTAGCCTCTGAAATATTGATTTAAAACAAGTTAACACAAACATCAGTTAAGCCCTCTGGCGACCTGCTGTTTACAAATTGTTATTGTTAAATAAACATTTTGAAAACTATACCATTGGGATTAATCATATGGTTTTATTTGTATGAGAACAAAAATGCTGAGAACTGTACTTTAGCATTTTGTTCACTAGATTATGACTATAGTTTTTAATTTTAAATACCAGCTGTCAAACAGTCAGCATTCTGCGCTGCAGTTCTTCTCTCTCCCCCCACCCCACCCCACCCCACCTCTGGTCTCCTGCCTGTACCCCACTATAATTTCATTTAATTGACATTTGAGCGTTTAACAACCAAAGTCCAGTCTCTAAAATGCAGTCCCCAAATCCCTTCACGTTGCATCTTCATGATGTTACCCCACAATACTTTCCTCTGAATATGTCAGGCTTCTGGTAGCCTGTGATTCAGAAGGTTGCAGGTTCAAGCCTCACTTCGGGACTTGGAGCTCATAATCGAGGCCAACACTTCAGTGCAGGTGCTCGGGACGTGCTGCATTGTTCGAGATGTCACCCTTTGGATGAGGAGTTAAACTGAGGTCGTGTCGGCCTGAGTCGGGGTATGTTAAAGATCCAATGGCACTATTCAGAGGTAGAAGGGACTTTCTCCTGGTGTCCTGGCCAACCATCCCCCAGGTAAAATTGGTCACTTGATGGCTGTTTGTGGAACATTCTTGTGCTCGAAATGACGACAGTCACTACACTTTGCAGTAAATCCTTTGAGGTGCTTTGAGATATCTTCCCGAAGTAAAAGGAGCTATGCTAAATGTTGTTATCTTATTACCTTTGCTTTGTTCAATCCCCTTAAATTCCCCGTCCCTATCTCTGTCTTGGTGATCACCATTATCACTATCAAGTTCTCCAACACACTAACCACGTGAAGGTGCTCCAACAACAACAACAACAACAGCAGCAGCAGCAGTAAATTGTTGTCGTTTGTGAAGCACTGTGAGAAAGTCGCTTTGCAAATGCAACGTTTGGGAATTTTTATTCACGATGTTCAACAAACAACTATTTTCGTTCCTTTGCTCGTGAGGAAACGCAGCGAATGTTCGCTCAGGGCCTGCAAAATCTCCGCGGAGGACGGGCAAAAGCACCTGCGGAAGGCGGGCAAAGACACCCGCAGACAGTCAGCGAAAGCATCGGCCGCAGGCGATCAAACGGCGGCAGAAGGTGAGCCAAAGACAGCCGCGGAAAGCGGGCGAACTGGGCGTCAATCAATCAGCCGCCCCCACATCCCTCCGCAACCCCCCACCCCCACCCCACCCCTTGACCGGTTGTAGCGCCTCCTGCTGGCGGGGTGTGGGAGGTGGTGGGGGAGAGGGGTTGGGTTCGCGGTGGTCACCAGGTGACCGGTTGTAGCGCCTCCTGCTGGCGGGGTGGTGGGGGTTCGCGGTGGTCACCAGGTGACCGGTTGTAGCGCCTCCTGCTGGCGGGGTGGTGGGGGGTTCGCGGTGGTCACCAGGTGACCGGTTGTAGCGCCTCCTGCTGGCGGGGTGGTGGGGGGTTCGCGGTGGTCACCAGGTGACCGGTTGTAGCGCCTCCTGCTGGCGGGGTGGTGGGGGGTTCGCGGTGGTCACCAGGTGACCGGTTGTAGCGCCTCCTGCTGGCGGGGTGGTGGGGGTTCGCGGTGGTCACCAGGTGACCGGTTGCTATGGTAACGCTTTGTTATTGACGGGTTCCTGGAGCGCGCGCTGGGGAGCGGCTGCACGCGGTGCGGTGTGTGGTGTGTGTGTGTGGGCTGTGCTGTGACAGTCAGGGCAGCCCCTGCCAGGCCGGGCCAGGGCAGGGCAGGGCCAGGGCCAGGGCAGGGCCAGGCCAGGCAGCAGCAGCATGAGCACCGAGTGCAGGGCGGCGCCGAGCTGCGGCTCCCCGGCTCACCACAGCAGGTTCTGCCCTTTAGTTGTGAGCGGGAGTCGGAAGAAGTTCGGGTAAGGAGCTGCCCCCCCCCACTCTCCCCCCACTCCCCCCACTCTCCTCCCCCCCCACTCTCCCCCCCCCCCCACTCTCCCCCCACTCCCCCCACTCTCCTCCCCCCCCACTCCCCCCCGGGCCTGTCCTCTCGCCTGTCCTCTTCATGTCCGTTTGCTGACCAGCAGAGCCGGCGGGGGCAGCGCTTCTGTGGTTCACTCACACTTGGCCCTTCACTTGTACCTGTTTTGCAGAGTTAAAAAGATAAATTACTTTTCTGCAGTTAGTAATGGGTGGAAGAAACCGGACAAACAGTGCAGACATGAAATGAACAGTCCTCACTCAAACCATCGCCAACAGGTGAGTAAGTGTTCACGTTGGGACACCAGTCAGGTTCTGTACCTGGTTGAGGTTGGAGCTGCACATACACACACACACATATATATATATATATAAAAAAAACAAAGAGGTTTCATTTTGATATTTCACACTCATGTCAGGACTTTGAACTCACAATCCAGACTTCCACTGGGATGCAATGTGTTTGCCTACAAAATACAGTCACTGCGCTGTACATTAAATCTTGTGAAGCGCTTTGAGATGTGAGATGTCGGGATTGTTATGCTGGGGAAAGTGTCGCATTCTTCAGATGAGGCAATAACTAGTCCTGTCTGCTGTGCAGGTGGATGTTAAAGATCCGACGGCACTATTCAAAAAGAGGAGTCTCTCCCGGTGTCCCGGCGAACAATCCCCCAAATAAAATTGGCTGTTTGTGGGTCATTGCTGTGCCCAACCATGTTTCGCCCACAAAATATACAGTCATTCCACTTTACAGTATATTACCAACATTCACTCATTTGTACACTGCAAATTATTGTTCGTTCATGTCACAATTGGAGCACATGGGAATGCTGGTGAAGAATTCCTTGACGTTCTCAAACAACAACAACAACAAGATTGCATTTATAGAGCGCCTTTCACGTCGGGAGGACGTCCCAAAGCGCTGGACGGTTGGGTCAGGACCCGAGCAGGGGGGAAATGGTCAGGGTGAGGGGAGGGAAGGGAGGGAGCGAGGAGGGGATAGAGAGTCGAGAGGGGAGCTGAAGGCACGGTCAAAGAGAAAGGTCTTGAGACCGGTCTTGAAGGAGGAAAGGGAGGAGGCGGCGAAAGCACTGGGGGATGGAGTTCCAGAGCCTCGGGGCTGAGAGGCTGAAAGCCCGACCACCGATGGTAGGGCGGTTGGGGCGGGGGACGTGGAACAGACCGGAGCCAGAGGAACGGAGGGTACGGGCAGGTAGGTAGGGGGATAGTAGGTCAGAGAGGAACTGACCAGATGGGCCACAGTGGTGTTTTCCACTGTACGATCCAATACTGAGTGACTACATGAGTTAGCTGAATTAACATTTACAGGTGATGCTAAATTTTCCCTCGGTTTTGAGTGTATCTCTACTGATGCTGACTCAGCTCTCTTTATAATTGATAAGCTTGCCCAGAATTGATGACCATGTATAATCCGATCTAATTGTGCTACTTTAATAAACTGTCTTCCAGTGTGCAATGTAGTACTGCACAGTCTACATAATGAAGTAGATGTGGGGCTTTGTTGTTATTGATGTTGCTAGCATTGATTTAAAGCTTTGAAAAGGTTGTGTTAGCATATTTCATGTGAAATTAAAGATATGCAATTAAATAACGTAGAATGAATAGAGTGGGACGCGAGAAATATTGGGCACTTGGAGGAGGTCAGGGTAACAATGGATGTAGTTGCGGAAACAATGGGGGTACAAAAGAGGGGCTGAAACTAACAAAAGCCCCAAATCTATGGAGTTGGAGGTGAAGAAACTTATCACATTATGTGCAGCACAAATCTTGTCTTGGAGAAGGAACAATATATTTGTGACATTAAGCATCATCAGTACTATTTCTCAGGAAAATCGTGAAGTTATTTTGTTAATAAATGGAAATAAATTATATTGTTCTTTATTCTTTCTTCACTGTGACTTGTATCTTGATTGTTTCTCCCATAAAATATACAATTAATTCGCCAAGTGCTTTGAGACGCCTCGAAGATATAATGCGCTATATTAAATGCAAAACTTATTATTATTTGCTGTCTTTTTCCTCTTCCTGTCACTCATTGGATGGAACCCTGTAGTTTTGAACTGTGATGACATGTGAAATGAACTTCTCTTTCAGCAAGCAGCCGGGGTCACATATGAAGCAGTGTCAGTCTAGTTCCAAGTGGGTATTAGATCCCAACACAAATTTACCACTATGTTGGTTAAACACGTTATAAGGATCTCTGATGTGGGAAATAGAACAGGTCTCAGCAGTGCAGTAGGGGAAGGGGGATTGCTTTTCTGAGGTTTGGGATTAAGCATGTCATTGTGATAGAATTGTGGTAATGTTAGTTTCCTTTTACCCAGCGTATGCTACAATACAATATAAATTTACATTTTTGTATCATCTTTCAAACTGGGAGGCTGTCCCAAGGTGCTTAACAGTCCTGGCTGGGCTCCCAGGTTGGGGGTGGAAGCTGAGGGCCTATATTTAATAATAAATAATTCTTGCATTTGATATAGCGCCTTATCACGTCTTTGAGACATTTCAAAGTGCTTCACACAGTATACTGTAAAGTGAATTGACTGTATTTTGTGGGCGAAATGTGGCAGCCAATTGCACACAGCAGTGTCCCACAAACAGTCAGGGATTGAAGTGACAAATTATCATTTATTTTTGAAGAGATTATTAATCCTGGAAAGCAATCTGTCAATCGACTAACAACTTGGTTCCTACTTACTGCTGGGTAAACAGAAGCATATGGAATAAGGAAACTTGCCCAACGTTTTGCCCAGCCCGGGAATCAAACCCAGGTCCTCTTGCTTGCGAGACAAGTGCTCTAAACAATAAGCTATAGGACTCCACAATTTTCCAGTTCATGTGTGTTGAGAGGCAATAGGCTGGATCCAGAAATCTAGGACAGGCTCCATGCACCAAAATCGGGACATTCTTATACCCTTGTGAATCTACTCAGTTACGTAGGTGTGAAGACAATTTTAATAGAATTTTTCGCATAAAAGAACTCCCCCCCCCCCCCCTTTTTTAAAATTATACAAGAAAATAGTGACATTTAAATTTTTCACAACCACATTTAAACCATTGCATTTTTTCCCCTCCAACGTTTTCGTCTTAGAACTCGAAAAGGAATTTCAATTATTTTCAATTCATTTGTAAAATGTTATCAAAAAAACTGGCCACTGATGTACAATTGCCCTTAAAATACTTGACCTGGATACTGACATTAGGTGCCTATAGCAAAACTGTACTGCACAGACCACAATCAATTTGCATTTATTTAGCACTTTATCATGTCAAAATGGTACACGTCAGTGGGGAAATGATCCAAAATCAGTCATTGCAAACCGGATGTTGTGTTTTGTGCGCCAAGTTCCAGTTTGCAAATGTCACATTTTCAACTCTAATATCTTTCATCTTAACAAGGACAAAACGTTCATTAGATTTATCAATTTAAAAACAATCTATAAATGACAATCATGAGAAGAATTGTAATTTGATAGCTAATTATTTCAAAAGTATGTGTGCTAAATTGGCATAAATATTTATTGTGGCTTAAAGTACCACAGATAAGGCAAAACACAGGTATGACCTGATTACGAAATAAAAAATGCAGATAAACACATTGGAAGGATTCAGGTTTATTCTCAAGATTATCTTACACAATGCAAGATCATCTCAACTGTGCTATCCTGCTTGAGGCTCCTGCACCTTGGGATGTCTTCCCGCCATGAATAGTGCTATATAAATGCAATTTATGATTGTTGTGGGGGAAGGTAAGTACAGTTTCCTTGGGGCTGAGTTGGCTCCAATGTGACGTACTTGGTGAACCTCAGACCCTGAGCCTGGTGTATCCGCAGCTCTCCTAGGGACCGATGATGACAGATCAGCCAGCCTGACAGGATTTGGTGAAGACACTCTTCCCATTTGGCTCCCAGCTGGACAAGCAAAACAAAGCTTGACGAACTGTGCTGGTAATAGCAAGTCATGTAGTTTTACTTGGAATATCGTAACGCACACTCTGAGTGGGATTCCTAAACCTCAAATCTTGTCAAACTGCACCTAATAATCTGCGGAGCTAGGTAAACATAGCGTGCTTACCCAGTGCGCTTTCCATTCCAGACACATTTCCACATGTCAGTGACATACATGTGTGGAACTCTAAGCCTGGTTTGGATTCTCCGAAGCATGGTGGTGTGTCAGACATCCAGCTGACAAAATAAATCTAAGCCAGGCCAACACAGGGAGCAGCTAAGTCCAACCATTTATCAGGCAGGTTATGTAGTTCACTTTGCTGGTCCTGAAATTGATGACTAGCTACCATAATAATTCTTGCATTTGATATAGTACCTTGCACATCAGGTGGACACCTCGAAGTGCATATACATGATATACTGTAAACTATAGTGACTATTTTTTGTGGCTAATGCGGTAGCCAATTTGTGCAATGTCCCAAAACAGCCATGAACTGACAGACAGAAACAAAATTATCAATTGCTTCGGTGTCCTTTTCTACCTCTGTGAATGTACACACTTTGTGTGGATGGATAAAGCTACATTGGCTGTGTTGCAATCATTTATCATTCGATAAGGATACAATTGTGCATTGGACTGTGCGCAGTGATATAGCTGATGATGTTCACCATCTGCTGGACTATATCAGGCTGTAAATAATAAATAGAAGCAAACTTAGTCCATCCACCATAATAATAATCCTTGCATTTGATATACCGCCTTATGTTGTTGAGACGTCTCAAAGTGCTTCACAGAATAATATGATTGATTGTGTATTTTGTGGGCAGAACACAGAAGCCAATTGCACACAGCAGTGTCCCACAAACAGTCGTGGATTGAGTGACCAAATTAATATTTTTTTTTGAGGGGGTGGGGAGGGATTATTATCTATGTTACCTCTAATTTTTAAAGGCTGTGTGCGCTGCTGTAAAAAAAGTGCGCAGCACACGACAGACTGCTGTGCGACCACGCACGAGTGCAGCTTAGAGGGAACAGTGATTATCACCCTAGCAAAGTGATCTGCAATTGACTACTTACTGCTAGGTAAACAGAGGCATGTGGAATAAGGAGACTTGCCCAATGTTTCGCCCTGCCCAGGAATTGAACCCAGGTCCTCTCACTTGTGAGACAGGCGTGCTAACCACTACATTACTGCACACCACAAGTAATCTGAAGCATAGATTATGAGAAAATTATAAATGGGAGTGGTCACAGGGCAGTGTATCATGTCGATACCTGGTCCCCCACCCCAAAACAGCTTTTATTTAAACCAATTTACACTTCTATAGCACCCTTCATGTGGGAAGAATATCTTACAGTACTTTCCATAGATTGAGCAGGAGGTCAAGCTGGGAGACCATGAGGATGTGGATTTGGCAGAGCATAGGTGGGGCCAAGGGAGTAGGGTAACAGGAGAGTGCAGAGATAGGGTGGTCTAAAGACTTGGAGGCATTTGAAGATCAGGATTTGAAACTTTCTTAAATTGATGTGCTGGAGAACAGGGAGCCAGCGGAGCCTGGGGAGGAGGCTGATGAGCTGAATGATAAAAGTATTCAATACGTTATGTATTAAATTGTTTGAAGATCACATATTGTATTAAAACACTAAAGCATCACTGTTCCTAAAGTGCAGTTAATCACACATCTTTGTGTTATCTAGAATTCCACTCAGTGCACATCGGAATTGGACAAAGTTTATGTGCATAATTATAACAATGTCATGGAAAAAGGGTTTTCAAAAAATGGTGAGTGCTTAGTGTGTTTTGATGTGTAGCTATGTTAGAAACATAAACCAAAGAAAACTTGTGATAAATCCAGTGTTTTTTTCTTCGACAGATAATTTGCTGCAGAAATTAAAAAAGGTAATTAGTTTCTTTGATTTAACCTATTTTCACTGAGCTTGTTGAATCCCAGTGTATTAAAATTAGGGTACTTGGAGTTTCACCACTTCCACAGCCAGCCGCACTTCTCTAAAACTCACAGAGCTAAGTTATTTCCTGAGCTAGGCGGTCCACAGTGTTCCTGGGCGCTGCTGATGACAGAGCAGCAAGCCTGGGCAAACAGCAGGGCTTCAAAAGGCAGATTAGTTCTGGGGCACGGATTCTTCCCATCCAGCTCCTGCTACCTGTTCAAGCCAAAGTACTAATGGGTAGGATGATCCTAACTGGACATGCAACAAGAAGCTTGCCACACAGTGCTTTCAAAGGCAAACTGTGCTGTTTTAGCTGGTTAAACCCCAGCCATAATCCAACACACACGCAGGGTTCCCCAAACCTTTGCTCTTGCAAATCTGTGCCCGAATAGTCTCTGGAATGAAGTAAACAGCACGAGTCCCTCCAGGGAGAGAGAGAGTGCATTCCATTCCAGACACTGGGGAATTTTCATTTCACATAAAATACAATTTGGCTGTTGTGCCAATTAAAAACATATCAGGAGTTATACCTATACTTCACTATTGTATCACTGGGTCACTTGCTCTGTGACCCACTTGCTTGCTCCAGCTTTATCTTTCTCTGTTTCCATATCCTATGAAAGTTATGTAAATTAAGGTTTACCTTCCTTACAGCAAATAAAATAGGTTTGAAGTGCAAAGAGATGCAACATTGATGTAGAGGCTACTGGGGCACAATTAAATTCCTTAGCAATCTCATGTGCTTGAGTGCCACTTCACACTTATGCAAAACAGGATTTTTTCCTGCCATATCATAGCCTGTGTCCAAAACAATAAAAAAAATTGGTCACTCAATCCACGACTGTTTGTGGGACACTGTTGTGCACAATTGGCTGCCCCATGTTTTATCCACAAGATATACAGTCAATTCACTTGACAGTATGTTCTGTGAACTGCTTTGAGACGTCTCAGACATAAGGCGCTATATCAAATCAAGGATTATTATTGGAGCCTGATGACAATAAACAGACATGCGGGTAATATGCGTCGAACAGGTGTGATTTCAGTGGGGTATTTTGATATTTAGAACTGATCAATATACACATGTTGTGAACTGTAGACATCCAACATAAAAAAGTCAATACCCCACTAATCCATAGTTCAAGGCTATAATGCTATATCATGGCATTTGCTTTTGGAAGGGAGGAGTTGAGAGGAAAATAATTCTCTGCAGCACATACATCCAGCTGAACTCAATTTACTAAATATCAAGTGGATCACTAAATTGATTCTATTGTGAACAATAGACTCTTGTGGAAGTTACTGCTCAAGATAGCATTATATTTTATTCCTAAACCAATTTTGTTATTTTTAGTTAATGATGTTATGCTAGTAAATGTTTCTTCTCTAATTTTAGACCAAGGAATCATACACAATCCTGATTGAACAGCTGGAGGATATGAGCATGATGCAAAACGGAAGATACAGGCAGGTATGAGGCTCGTAACCTGAGCCAATAGAAAAGTGCGGGCATATTGGCAAAAAAATTGTGGAGCACTTGCAGATCTTGCGCAAAATTGCCGAGGCCTTTGCTAACTTTTGCTGGGGAAATTGCGGGGGTTGATTGGTGCTATTGAGGTATATTTTACTACATTTTTTCACTTTGATAAAAACTAAACATAAGGAAATAACACATATTAGATTGTTGCAAAAAAATGAGTAATTGCTTCTTTAACAAGAACTGTGTGGCCATTTTTTTTGTTGGTTGGGGGGTGGTGGGGTTGTGTGTGCACACACCAGTGAGGCTACAAGAGCTCACCACCTCCTGCCTCTCAGGGCTGGCACTGCACACAGACCCAGAGAGAGAGAGAGACACACACGCTCAGCGAGACACACACACGCGCTCAAAGACACAGGCGCGCTCAGAGACACAGGCACACTCGCGAGGCGCACGTTCACACTCGCGAGGCGCACGTTCACACTCGCGAGGCGCACGTTCACACTCGCGAGGCGCACACTCGCGAGGCGCACACTCGCGAGGCGCACACTCGCGAGGCGCACGTTCACACTCGCGAGGCGCACACTCGCGAGGCGCACGTTCACACTCGCGAGGCGCACGTTCACACTCGCGAGGCGCACGTTCACACTCGCGAGGCGCACGTTCACACTCGCGAGGCGCACGTTCACACTCGCGAGGCGCACGTTCACACTCGCGAGGCGCACGTTCACACTCGCGAGGCGCACACTCGCGAGGCGCACACTCGCGAGGCGCACGTTCACACTCGCGAGGCGCACACTCGCGAGGCGCACGTTCACACTCAGAGACACACACACACTCAGAGACACACACACACTCAGAGAGAGAGACACACACACACAAACTCAGAGAGACACACACGTATACTCAGAGACCCAGAGAGAGAGAGACACACGCACACACTCAGAGACCCAGAGAGAGAGACACACACACACTCAGAGACCCAGAGAGAGAGACACATATACTCAGAGACACACAGATAGACACACACACATTCAGATACACACTCATAGACACACACACTCAGAGAGAGACACACACACTCAGAGAGAGACACAGAGAGAGACACACATACTCAGAGTCACACACACACATTCCAACACGCAGAGTGACACAGAGATAGAGACGCACTCACTTAGAGACACACACACACACACACTTAGACACACAGAGAGAAACACACACACACACTCAGAGACCCCCCTCCTCACACACACACACACACACACACAGAGACACACTCACTCAGAGACCACATAGACACACACACACACATTTAGATACAGAGAGAGAGACACTCAGAGACACAGAGAGAGAGAGACACACACACACACAGTTCTAAGACACCCAAACGCACTCACATACAGGAGACAGACAATCACAACAGTGGGATCTCCTAGTGTAGCCCATTTGCCACTTGCGCCACACTACGCATGTGCATACAGAGCCGCTCCGCCCACAGTGACTCCAAGTAAATAGCATGAGTGGCCCGCGGGCCGGAAGCTACATTTATGGCAGGTTTGTAGTGGGCGGTGACTAATGGTGCAGAATTAAATCTCATAGGACATATAAGCATCCTAACCGCAGGAACACAGGGCCCTTAAAAAAAACACATTAAATGCAATATTAAGAAACCGCTTAATTTGTAGTTTGCAACATACCACATTATTTACAAGTAATGTAACAAGTTAAGGTAAGTTACATTAATCACAAATTCTGTTTTGGAATTCATGATTGAGAGATTTAATAATATCGTACCTCCAAATTTCAAATTATAAAAATCGTTAGTCTACAACAACAAAATTACATTGGTATAGCGCCTTTCACTTCGGGCGAACGTCCCATGGCACTGGACAATCAGTGTTTCGGACCCGAGCTGGGGATTCAAAAAAAAGAGGTCATTGGATTGCTTTGTGGATAATTTTCCTAAAGGAGAAAAAGCCTGAAAGTAAAAGATAGCCACAAATGAGCATTATTAGGAGTGTTTATATAGGAAAAATACTGCAATTATTATATTTATAGGTTCAATCGTCTCCAACAAAACCTGCTGATGTCACAGTACCCAAACCAACAATTTGCTGGAGTGAACAAGCTTCCATTATAAGTAACAGGTATTTTTAGATTTGAACAGTCATATATCAGATTTCTTTACTATATAAATATCAAAACATAAAAATTAGTTGAATTTTTAAAAATTGCTAATAATCAATATGATATTTAACAAAATATTGTAAGAGAATGGTTACTGCTGTAATGTTTGCAACTATATAGAATAGAGATATGCTAACTAAAAATAGTTCTTTAAATCTAAAATTCACCAAAATATTGAAACTGAGATGCAGGAATTGTGCCTTTATGCAGATTAAATGGGAGTGGATTTAATAATCACTCTTCAGGAATTGTAGGTACATTGTGAACTGGCAACCATTAGATCTTATCCATTAGCTTTGTGAAATACTGGCCAACCTTTTTGGTTGGTGAACAAAATACATTTTCTCAAATATTTCTTGATTTATACCATAAATCAATTAAGAAAAAATTGGAAGCATAATATTGAACACAGACTGACCTAAACTTGTGCAGGCCACAGGCTGGCTACCACTGGATTTGAGGATGAAGGTCCTGGCTGGTAACACTCCAAAGATTGCAGGGTTAAATCCTGGAGGGCAAGTTAGTAGGTCTCAGGTGGGGAAGTTGGAAGGCTACAATGTTTGCTGTAGAACACCTCAAAACACTTTACAGAGATGGAGTGGATGGCCATGCAAAGTAGAACAGAGGAGCAAGATGATTGAAGGTGCAAAGAGAAAAGTTCTTAGATGGGTTTTGAAAGTAGAGAAGAAAGGAGCAAGGCAGAGGTAATTTAGAGTTCCAGAAAGCAGAGGCAAATTGGTTCCCCCCACCACCAAATGGTGGAGTTGAAGGGCTGGAGGACATGAATCAGGCCTGGGTTCTGGAGCAGAGGGAGTAGAACAGTTCAGTAGGTACAGTTCATCTGTTTCCAGGCATTTGTTGGTTTTAAGACCCTTGAGCCTCTCCAGAATCACAGCCTCACTTATGTTAAAGGCCTGAAGCTCAGACAATGTTGGGGGAATATTTTTTAATGCCCTCCCTAGTTTAAAAAAACAAAAACGACTTTAGGAAGCCATAGTTTAATGTTTGCAATGTTGTAATTGCTCTTTTTCAATCTTTGAATCCCTTAGAATTTCCAATTTTCTTATAACTCTAAGAATGTGTGAGTTGTTTTGCATTTGCTATATCCCTTTGCAGTTCTCTCTTGCCTCCCTTTCATAGAATTATAGGATATTACATAGGATCGTGCCTGTCCCACTCCCCTGCATTTTCCCCATATCCAATTCCCTTTTGAAAGTTGTTATGGTATCTATTTCCACTGCCTTTTCAAATAATTCTCATCTCCCCTCTGGTTCTTTTGCCAATTATCTTGAATCTACGTCCCCTGGTTGCAATCTCAGCTTCTTTAGTCGCTCATAACTGAAGTCCCTCATTCCTGGTATGATTCTGGTAAATCTTCTCTGCACCCTCTCCAAGGTGTTGATATAATTCCTTAAGTGCAGTGTCCAGAATTGGATACAATACTCCAGCTGAGCCCTAACCAGTGACTTATAAAGGTTTAGCAGAACTTCCTTGCTTTTGTACTCCATGCCTCCATCTATAAAGCCAAGGATCCAATTGAAGCGACCAATTTTATTATTGTTTTTTTTGAGGGATTATCATCAGGCGTGTGGAGCAAGGACAAAATGTTGGGCAAGTTTCCTTATTCCACATATGTCTGTTTACCTAGCAGTAAGAAGGTACCCGGTTGTTAGTTGATTGGCGGATCATTTTTCCAGGGGTAATAATTCCTTCAAAAAAAATTAATCACTCAATCTGTGGCTGTTTGTGAGTCGTTGCTATGCACAATTGGCTGCCTTGTTTCCCCCACAAAATATAGTCAATTCATTTTACAGTATGTTCTGTGAAAAGCTTTGAGATGTCTCAAAGACATAAGGCGCTATATCAAATACAAGGATTATGTCCTCCTGCAGTCTGCTTCCATCCTCCTCACTGTTTACGTGCCCAAGTTTTCTGTCATCTGCAAACTTTAAAATTTTTCTCTCTTTTACCTAATTGCAAGTCATTTATGTGCAGTATATCAAAAAGAGCAGTGGACCTAATACCGACCCATCGGGGACACAACTGTATACTTCCCTCTGGTCTGAAATACTACCCTTTCTGTCTTCCAGCCAATTTCGTATCTATGCTGCCACTGTCCCATGGGCTTCAATTTTGCTCACTAGTCTATTATGTGGCACCTTATCAAACGCTTTGATATACACTACATCAACTATTGATGAACTACCTTCATCAATCCTCTCCGTTATATCGTCAAAGAACTCAAAATTAAGTTAGTCAGATAAGATTTGCCTTTCACAAATACGTGTTGACTGTCATTAATTAACTTGTTTTTCTAAGTAAAAATCAATTTTGTCCCGGATTAAGGTCTCTAGAAGTTTCCCCAGACGTTAGGCTGACTGACCTGTTGTTACTAGGTATATCCCTCTCCCCCTTTTTTGAACAGGTATAACATTTGCAACTCTCCAGTCCTCAGGCATACTCCTGGAGTATTCAAGGAGGTTTGAAAGATTGTCGCCAATCTCCACTATTTCCACCCTAACTTTTTTAGTTAACCTCTTTCTGCATTCAGCCCAACGGTCACTCTCTCCTTTCTCCCTACAAGTTTTATAAATCTTCCTTTTCTTTATCTCCCTTTTTATTTTCCCATTTATATTTGTGTGGAGTCCTGTAGCTCAGTGGTTAGAGCACTCGCTTTGCAAGTGAAAGACCTGAGTTCAATTCCAGGCAGGTCAGGGCGAAACCTTGGGCAAGTTTCCTTACTCCACACACCTAATAATAATCCCTCCAAAAAACCCAAAACAATAATAAATTGGTCATTTTCAATCTACGACTGTTTGTGGGACATTGCTGTGCGCAATTGGCTGCCGCGTTCGCCCACAAATATAGTCAATTCACTTTACACTATGTTCTGTGAAGCGCTTTGGGACGTCCTCCCGACTTGAAAAGCGCTATATCAAATGCAAGGATTATTATTATTATTTAGTGTGTCTGTTTAACTTGCCTGTTGCACTTGGGTACATATTTGTCCTGCACACACTGCATAATGTTCTTTAAAGATTTCCATTTATCCTCAACTGATTTTTCCTTGATTAATGCCTCCTAGTCTATATTCTCTTAGCTCAGCCCTCATCCCCTGAAGTTTTAAATCAAATTCCAAGCAAACCCAACATGGGTTCAGAAAGGGTAGGTCTTGTCTGACCAATTACATAGACATTTTGAGGAAGCGACTGTCTAAGTTGACTGTGGGAAGGCATATGTACAACAAAATTACATTTGTATAGCGCCTTTCACGTCGGGAGGACATCCCAAGGCACTGGACAGACAAAGTTACGGACCTGAGCTGAGGGTCGGGAGGGGAGGGGGGGGCAGAGGGGGAAGCAGAGAGATCAAAAACAGGTCGAAGAGGAGAGTCTAGAGGTGGGTCTTGAAGGTGGCGAGGGAGGGGGCTAGGCGGAGGGATTGCGGGATGGAGTTCCAGAGCGTGGGTGCAGAGTGGCGGAAGGCCCGCCCGCCGATAATAGGGCGAGCAAGGCGGGGCACGTGAAGCAGGCCGGAGCCCACTGAGCGGAGGGAGCGAATAGGGTGGTAGGGGTTTAGAACGTCGGAGAGGTAGGGGGAGCAAGACCGTGGAGGGCTTTGAGAGTGAGGACCAGGATCTTGAACTGTATCCTCTATGTGATGGGAAAATGTAAAATTGAATAACAATGGAAGGGGTCAATTAAAATACTATTTCATTAGCATGTTAATTCCTCACTCTGTAATAGGACCACAATACATCGCAAAAGAGTGAACCATTTATGAACATTGCATCAGGTTTTAACAAAAAGTAACTTGCAGATTTCAGTGGGAGATTTTATTCATGTCGAGCCTTATACATGGTCTCTTGCTTTGAATAACGCCATAACTGAGAATTATACAATATTTTTAGTTACAGAATTTACTCAAGAGAGAGACTGGGAAAATCCTCGAAACAATATTTAATGAATTCTATAAAGGAGAAACTTGACAGCCTGAGCAACAGTCTTCCAACCTCAGCTCGAAATAGAAGAGTGAACAGTGCTCCAAACTGCACTTCTAAATCGACAGCCAACTGTTATGAAGAAAAAGAAGCACTGGACAGAAATTTCTCTTGTCCTTTGATTTTGGATATTACTGAAAATTATACCACTCCATCCGATAGCACGTATGACAATGATCCACCAGGAACCAAACAACCATATAATGCTTTTCAAAAGAGCCATTTGCAGCAGTTGAACTTAGTCCTCAGACCAGAGCTTATGGAAACTGAAAAGAGATCTTCCAGCTCCAGCCTTTACCCAGAAAATGATGTGTCTACCTACCCTGACATTCTCCCAGCACCGTTTGTCAGTATGAACTTTAGTGAATTGATGGAGAACCCTCAATGGAAGACATTTCTATCTATAAGACCAAATGAACAATTACAACGACTGATAAATCGCCTTACACAGATGGAAAAGATGCAGCTTAACACAATAGAAATTGAGAAGAGCAAAGTCACTGAGGCGTGGCTGTCCACTTCTGCTGGCACATGTCCAGTAAATAGGGTTAAAATAAACAGAAAATCTCAAAATGATCATCTTACTCATATAACCTCAGCTCATCCTGCTGATTGCCTCAAGAAATCTGCTAATCACCCTATCCAGGACCAGAATTCACACCATATCGGGTCTTGGGATTTGTGCAACTATTCTCCAGAGCCTCGAGTATTCAAAAGTCAACTTGGAAGTGATTGGAATGTTGATGAGAACTTGAATAGAGCCATATGTGTCTCTAACCAGTTAACATTAGAAGAGCCATTCGCAGGCTGTGCCAGTACTGAAGCCATAGTATTACAGAAGCCTATCTCAATCTATGTCAGTCCTGATATCATGGCTTTAGAAGAGCATAACTCAACTTATGCCAATAGTGAAGCATTAGGCGATTCCACCTCAAGTTCCGACCATAGTGACGTCATAACATTAGAAGGGTCCACCTCAAGTTGCGCCAGTACTGAAGTTTTAGTATTACAAGAGTGCATATCAAGCTGTAGCAGTACTGAAACCATAGCGTTGGAAATGCCCATCTCAAGCCATGGAAGTACTAAAGCCAGAGCATTAGAAGAGTCCACCTCAAGCTATGGAATTAGTAAAGCCATAGCATTAGAAGAACCAATCTCAAACTATGGCAGTAGTAAAGCCACGTCAGTCAATGTGTCTAACTTGAGCGGTGACAGTGCTGAAGCTATAGCATTAAAGGAGTCTCTCTCAAGTAATCCCAATACTAAAGCCATAGCATCACAAAAGCCTAGCTTGAACTATGAAAGTAGTGAAGGCACAAGTTTCAAAGAATCCATCTTAAACGGTGACAGTGCTGAAGCCATAGCATCCAAAGAGCCTCTGTCACATTACAACAATATTGAAACCATAGCATTAGAAAACACAATCTTGAGCTATACCAGTACTGAAGCTAAAACAACACATATACCTGCCTGGAACTTTGAAACTAGAAAAGCCAAAACAGAATATAGATTTGCCTGGAGCTATTGGAGTACAGATGTCAAAACAAGGTGTAGACCAGCCTGGAACTATGGAATTAATGAAGCCAAAACAGAAGGTAGACCTTACGGAAGTACTGAATCCCAAAAAGATCATATGTCTGCCAGGAATTTCGGAAGTGCTGAATCCAAAAAAGAACATAGACCCCCCGGGAATTACAGAAGTACTGAGTCCCAAAAACATAGACCTGCCTGGAATTATGGAAGTACTGAATCCAAAAAAGATTATAGATCTGCCTGGAATTATGGAAGTACTGAATCCAAAAAAGATTATAGATCTGCCTGGAGTTATGGAAGTACTGAATCCAAAAAAGATAATAGATCTGCCTGGAATTATGCAAGTACTGAATCCAAAAAAGATCACAAACCTGCCTTGAGTTATGGCAAAACAGAAGTCAAAACAGAATGTATACCTGCCTGTAGCAATGGCAGTACAGAAGCTAAAACAACAGGTAGAACTGCCTGGAGCGGTGCTAATACTCAAGTCACTACTGGAGTAAAACCTGTAAAAAGCCCAGCTTCATTAAAATCTTCATGTTGTTCTGGGAAAGACAAAAAAAAACTAAAGAAATCCAGAAAAAGGAACAACACACCGTTAGGGGAAATATTTTCTCATAGAAGCAAATCAATAACCAATTCTTCTAATCAGAGAAAGAACAAACGCACCACAAAAAAGTAATTTGTATTATTTCCTTATGAAATACATCCAACACTTCAAATATATTGATAGATTTCAGAATAAAACTACTTTTTTACAAAATTCTTTACCGTTAAACAAAACATATCTAGATAGGAGTAGTTTTAGTACTGATAAAGCTATTATTAATAAAGTTTAGTATGTTCATGCAAATAGATAGAATCTTAAGACTGGTGTTTGAGATGGGCAGAAGATTGATTTTTTTCTGTATTGACAAGAAACACACCTATGATACACAATATCTTTAAGGCACAACAGACTGAAAAAATCGTAACTATTTGAAGTGTACTGCATTTCAAAACAAAGATTATATCCCTTCAATTTTGCCTATGTTCAATATAGAAATTTCTAAGTTAAATAACATTTGTTAAATTGTATTATTACATTACAGAACCTGTCTCCATCATTCATGGGCTCTCTTTTGCCCATTTCCCAACAACAACAACAAAATTACATTTATAGAGCACCTTTCACGTCAGGAGGACATACCAAAGCGCTGAACAGTCAGGTGTCAGGGTCCGAGGATGGGGGAGGGGTGGGGTAGGGTGAGGGAAGGCGGAGAGGTGGGAGAGCGACCAAAGGCACGATCGAAGAGAAGGGTTTTGAGACCGGCCTTGAAGAAGGCAAGGAAGGAAGTGAGGCGAAGGGACCGTGAGATGGAGTTCCAGGGTGTGGGGGTAGAGAGGCTGAAAGCCCGGCCACTGATGGTAGGGCGGTCGGGCGAGAGACGTGGAGCAGGCCAGAGCCCGCTGAATAGAGGGAGCGGGCAGGTTGGTAGGGAGTCAGTAGGTCAGAGAGGCAAGGCCATGTTTTTGTTCCCCGCAAGATACAAGATGAGGTTATTTCCGATAGACATCACCACTAATTCAGATAGACTCCAACAGGGCTATTTTTTGACCACCCAGATGTCTTGATACATGTGGAAATTTAGTATCTAAACAAAGAGTGCATGCATCCCACCTATGCATGGAAATTCCCAACATTGTATCTTATATGACCCTCAACTATCCTTCCTACCCAACATCTGTACTATGACCGGCTCTGCCCTTCCCCACCTCCGCAACATCATCCAGCTCCGCCACTGTCTCACACTGCAGGCTGCTGAAATTCTCATACCTGCATTCATAACATCAAGACTTGACTATGCAAACTTCCTGCTTGTCGGCCTCCCCAATTCCTCCCTCCATAGGCTGCAGATCATCCAGAACTTTGCAGCCCATGTCCTTTTCCGCACCAGGCTCTGTGACCCTCTCATCCCCATTCTTGCCCAACTCCACTGGCTTCCCATCACACAGTGGATACAGTTCAAGATCTTGGTCCTCACCTTCAAAGCCCTCACTCCCCCCTATCTTCGCGACCTTCTAACCCATTACCAACCTGCCTGCTCCCTCCACTCAGCGGGCTTCAACCTGCTTCACATCTCCCAACTCACCCGCCCTACATTGGCAGACGGACCTTCTGCCATTCTGCCACCACCATCGGAGCTCCATCCTGCAGTCTCTCCGCCTCGCCCCTTCCAAGACATTTTTCTTCCACCGTGCCTTCGGTCACCCTCCTCCCACCCTCCCTGATCCCCAGCAAACATAGATTGTCCTCTCAACATGAAAGGCACTATACAAACATAATTTTATTGTATTTATTGGAATGGAATGGGCACTCTCCCTGGACAGAGGCATCCTGCTTACCCAATTCTGGAGATTATCAGCTGCAAACTGACAAGAGCCAAGCTTGGGGAACCCAACAAAACCACACATCTTGTCTGGCTTGGACCATTGTACCTGTTACAACTTTGGATTGCAGTTAACTGGAGCTGAGTGGGAAGATTTCCTGGCTCCAGTCATCATCAATGCCCTGCAGTATCGCAGGACTGCCTGGGTAACAATCCAGACTACTGATCTACCAGAGGAGTTGACTCAATTCCAATATTCTGTTTCAAACAAGCCACCTTAGAGTCAGTTGAACTTGAAACCCTGCTTAGATCCCCCCTCCCCCAGGGAGGATAGTCAATAATCAAGGCAAAATCTGTTTGCACAAGCTTTGTGGGACACGATGACCAGATCGTTAAATGCTTTCCCCCTCCCGACCTTAAATTCCTTTTTGAGTCACTAATTATTTCCATTTGGGCAGATTTTTTAACAAAACAGGTAGGTTGACAGGATTAAATAAAACATTGAACAGTTTAGTATATTTCTGTTAATAGTCATCAGAATAGCAAAATCTCTAACTAGTCTGAATTATCCAAAAAGTTTGACAGTGAACTTTTATTTCAAAAAATACCAGAAGATGCAATTAAAGTCTATGAAAATAATTACTACAGTGCCAGATTACCCAGTTTGCAGTGATACCACTGGATATCAAACCAATATTACAGTGAATAAGTCAGCCATGGTTGTTTTAACATTCAGAAATGAGTGTCCAGTCCATAGTTAAAATGTTTTATTCAGTATGAAGTGTTCTAGAATAATCAGTACTCAAGATTAGCAAAAGTTTCATTTTTGTGTACAATACATCTACCTTTAAAAGCTAAAAATGGTCAAGGATCAGAAGCAACAGAATTAAACTCCAAGTTTACAAGTGTCCAAAAATGATCTATTATTCTGCAAAGCCATTGTCTTCACTTTAATTCAGTACTGAAGAACTGTTTGCTCTCAGCGACTTATGTTGAAGCTAAGTTAATGAAGGTCATTCGAAGATGTAGGCATTTTACATCCTGGCCCTTACCTACAGAATAAAACACACAGGTTAAGAGCACAAACACAAAGAACACTTTAAATTTTACAACATAACGGTCTGGGATCTGTTTGACTAGACTCCCTGCATAAAGGTATATTATAAGTGCACCAAATGTGACTCAAATGTTATGATATAATCTATGTAACTGGATCGCATGGGAACGAAAGAGAATTGGGACGAGCTTCAAGTTTGCCTGCCATAATGAATGGTTGTTGAATCAACATATTCTGAAACGGAACAATAATGGAAGACACAACATCCATTAAATAAATCATCAAAATAATGTTTTACTACATAATAAAACGATATAAAAAAGTCAAGATTACCAATTCTTAAATTTGCCACCAATTTAATAGTTCAAAATAGGTTCAAGCTGATCTTTAAATGTTACTAAACTAGGTGCAAAGAACTTATTTTTCACTAAAAAAAGTAATATTTAATAAATGGAATTTTTAACTTGGTTTCTGAAATCAAAGATTACTTTGGTAAGGATCTAAGTCCACTACAGCCATTTATTTTCACAACAACTATAGGTTGGTCTTGTTTCTTTAAATGCAAAGTCCAAAATTATAATGCAAGATTTGTACATCCATTCAAAATGTAAAATTATTCCATGTGAGAAAATGATCAATCCTTTTACTTAATGATAAAACTAAAATATGGATTCCTGGAACTGAAATTTAGCATTATAGATCTTTGATAACACCCTTTTCAATTGAAAATTACAAATTAACAGCGAGTCTCCTGCTATTTATTAAAGTCACTGTAAATGTTATTGTCTTTATGGAACAGAAACCTTAATTCAGTCTTCGTTTTCTTGCAATGTGCATCGCCTCCCATCAGGGTGCACCTAAGAGACAGAGAACAAGTAAAGAAACACCTTGATGCTTTATAGAATTTTAAAAAATACACATATGCCCGTGAAAGAATTCCGCATAATAGTAAGGAATTTAAATATTTTGCTGGAGATGTAAACACCTCAAGTCTGGACTTTTCCAACTTAATTTAAATACATTACACACAGCACAAATTGGAGAATCACGAGAACCCTTAGAAGTCAGTTATTCAAAGAAAATGTTTTTATTTTCTTAAGATATATTGCTGCAAGAAATGCACTTTTCATCTGGTATGAAACGCTTATCTAGGCATGCCGTCAGAAATGACCTTGTGGAGAAGGTGAAGCTGTCTCATTCAAAGCAGGCCCCCAGGAATAGGCGACGTGGCCTGTTGCTTCCAAGCATAGTAACATAACGTGCTTTCCTTTCTCTCTCAGCATCATCGAAGGGAAGTAAGAAAACAGTAGAAAACATTAGTCATTTTGTAGTATGAATGAGTGGATCAGACTTCCAAATAGGTTTGTGAATTGTGGCAGCCTTTAACTGACATTATTCTGAGATATTGCCTTCTAATGCCACCTTTAAGGCACTTTTAGTGATTTCTAAAACGATGCTAACCAAATTGTTGCTGAAAACAAACATTCAAAAACTGTTCTCCTTTTTGCATAAATCATCTTTATCAGTTTTTTATTTTTTGAAGTAGTAAGTGAAAGGTTTAAAGCAACTAAAAGCACTTTATGTTCAGTGTACTGATTTGTGACTCGATAATCCTAGATTTTATTGGGTACTGTGAATTGGATAAAAATGTCATCACATGTAGAAAATGAGTCATTAAAGGTTTCATACATCCAAGACCACTGGGATTGCCAGCATAAAAAAACAGATCAGATCAGCAAGTCACCATTGTAGTTTTAGCGTTGCATAGAGACCTGACTGCATGTCGGACCACTGTGAAAACAGCTACAATCGGTTTGTTCAAAACAAATGCTTTATTCACCAACATATCTGAATGCATATCGAAATTCTCTCCAGTATTCTGCATGGTTATCTTTACATGCAGGAAGAGTGCGTGTCTGTGTGTGTGTTGTGTGACAAATGCCCCAACCTACCTTTGTATAAGCAAAGGCATTGTACGATTATTTTAACCCCTTCACTGACCGGCTGCAATTATGCAGGCCTCGGATTGGATCGTCATTGAATGTTACTTACATCAGTAATTAATGAACGAATATGAAACACATTTTATGCCCGGTTCATTCATGGAATGCCACATTAGGTGCAAAAACAGACTGAACAAAAAATACGTTCATTGGTGCAAACAGAATTACAACTTAATGCTTAATGTTTGCCAGTGAAGGGGCTAAGTACAGAACTACAACAAGTCATCACAACTCATCTTAAACAAAAAAACATAAAAGAAAAAAGGTAAAGAAGCAATTACCGCTTTAAAAAGCAGCTGCTTTGCTCAAGAGTGGAAGGTTATGTATGCCTGTATTGAGAGAAACATGATCACAAACAATGAAACTAATGCACATAATGTCGCAAAGGAAATGCTTTCTTACTGTAAAACAATTTCTTAATCAATTTTAATTTTAAAAATTCAGAAATTGTCACTTTAGACATCTACAAAGAAATATAAAATCCCAATTTTCTTCCATTTTAATGACTAAATGAAACTTCTTCTGTTTATTATGTACTATAGGTACAGATTTACTAACAGAATTTTATGGCATTGACAAATTTCTACCACAATTCTATTACAACTTCAAATAGTAATATATAAACAGTACACTGAAGGTGCTATACTCATCAAACTTCCCACACTAAAGACTCTATATTTTGCCATTGTCTTACTAATACATTAGCAAGTTCACAAACAAGATCTTATAACATTCACCAGCATGCAAGGCATTCTGCCATGATGCTAATACTTTCCACTCCTAAGCTATACCACCTATCTGCGACAATGAATGCTTAATACACCAATAATGTTGATGGTTTAGCTTACCTTCAGTGTACTGAAAGTGGTACACAACCTGCTTTTAATGATGTGACCATCCCTGTAAGCAGGCACAGGTAGGGACAGACCCCTTCGGCACTGAGTACACCAAGGGCATGCTGGCCTGCACACACACCTAGGAAAATGTGAATATAAACATCATTTTACCTCGGCCATTGTTACAGAGACAAGGATGGGCCAAGTCTGCACAAAAACAAAGGTGTGTTTTGGAGATTGAGCGCCAGAATTTTCCTCCTAAAGAAACACCAGTGTTTTACAAGGACTTAAAAATAACTTTAAACTGTTTGTGTGCAGTCTTAGCAGTTAAAACAACTCAACAAAAACTACAGTGAAAGTATGAAGAAAAACGTCTGGAAAAAACACAAATCAATATATTTACAGTGACTCATATTCCTACTCGAAATAACATTTTTAACTTAACCATGCGTATTTCACGGTAAACAACATCGTGTTTGACATATACTAAAATACTTTTTTTCTCTGACTTTTCCAGTCTTTGTTTAATTGCTCAAACCCGTTAAATCCTCCGATTAAATCTTCTCCTGAATGAATGGATGCTGCAGTGCCTGGTTGATGCTGACTCGTTTGGCTGGATCTAACATGAGAATCTGCTCGAGCAAGTCTTTAAGCTGGTGGACTTTTTTACGCTGGTCTTCTGGCAAACGCTGACAACCAATCATGTCAGCTAACAGGTCCTTGGTAGAATTAATAGTGCTCATAACAGTGACCTTCTCCTAAACCAAAAACAAAAGAACAGAAGCTTTAGTCTAATGCAATTGTGTGCTTACATGTGTTTATTCACATGTACAGCACATTCAGAACACAATTATTTTACTGTAATATATCTACACACTCTAAGTAATGTATCCAAGATCAATGTTAAAGGAATACCACAGCCATGTGAAACAATGATTAAATATGTAACTTTTAACATTGAAATATTGCCTTAAATTAAAACTGAATGCCTGCAACACTTAAAGACTTTTTTGTTGCAAACATAGTTGTGGCTATCCTCATTGAAAGAGGGGGATATGAAACAGGATGCAATAACAGCCTAGTATATAAAAATAACTAAATGGTGTCAAGGCTGAAATACAGGGTGGCCAAAAATTCATATCTACCCTATTATCTTAAAAAAAATTCCTTAAGACTTATTAGACATTGTGAAGGTATCAACTTTTTAGTCACCCTGTACAAAGTGGCCTAAACATCTTGCGATATTGACAGGATAAAACAATCCCCTTAAATTAGGCTTTCACTTTAATTCCCAAAACATGCTAAAACATTTGCTGAATTTCAAATATTACATTACAGTAAGTTTTTTCATGCCCCATAGAGACATAGCAGGGATTCAATTACTAATTATATTCAACAAGTTCTACTTACCTTATTCATAGATCTTACTAATATGCATCTGGAATCATGCACTTACTATGACTCAATTTCCCTCTGCTTCTTTCCCCTCATCCCTATAGATCTTTCTAATCTATTCCTTTCCTTCCTCGGCTGTATTCCTTCCTTCGAGACACAATTACCCACTCCTCCATTGTTTTGATATAGCACCTTATGTCATCAAACTGTCTCAAAGGGCATCTCAGAATTAATCATAAAGAGTACTGAGTACTGACTATATTTTGTAAGCGACCGTACCACCCAATTTGTGCACAGAAATATCTAACAAACAGCTATGAAGTCAATGACCAATTTTTTACACGGGAGATTGTTGGCCAGGGGAAGGTCCCTTCTCTTTTCAAATAATTCCATAAAAACTTTAATGTCCACTTGAACAGGTAGATGGGGCCTCAGTTTATCATGTCACCCAAAGGATGGCAGCTCCAACAGCGCAGCACACCCGCAGCACTGCAATTGGGAGTGTCAGCTAGACTATACAAGATCAAATTCCTGACATGGGGCTTGAACAAGCAATCTGTTGAAATTAATTCAACAATTTGTAGTTGAGCACTACAAACTTAGCCAGGATGAGACCTATATGATATTTCTTGGCCAGTGAGACTGTGGATGAACTGGTTCTTTTTCTTCTCAAGTAATTTTCTTGTTCTTAAGATATTTTTTCATTCTCCAGTGCAGCCTGATCAGCCCTCACCTCATCTCCACAGAAACGACTGGAACAGACTGCATTAGGCAAAACTCTCCACTATTCTTCACTTGAGCTTTCAACTTAAACTAAACATTCCACCAATTGTTATCCACCTTATTCAAACCAGGCTGTCAAATCAGAGATCTCTTCAGTGGGTGAATGCAAGCATGTCACATGAATCACTTGCAACGGAGCATAGAATTGTCTCCCAACACTCAGTTTTCCTCAACACACACACGCACACCCATAATTCACTGTTTTCAAATCTGCAATGGGGGCCAGTCCCAATCAGTGCAGATCTTGAGCTTTGAGCTTGAACTACAGTGCTGTTGAGTGCCTGGGTGGGTACTGGTAAATATTAAAGTAGAGTCCATTATCCACACTAATTGGGTACTGTTATGAAACTATACAGCTGATGGAACATCATGCAAAATACAAATTGGCTACAGTGCTAACTAAATATTTCTTCCGTTGATTTATACCATCAATATTGTGCCAGACTGAAAGCTTTCTCTACGAGTCTCTCCTTCCTCCTCTCTAACTTTCCATATTTCTGTCTCTCTCCCTGTCTCCAACTGTAGCAATGCCAAATAAGCAGGTATCTTGGTTCCATCGTGAGCTGTGCTGGACACATCATGTCCTTGGAAACCGTGGGAATGTGTGTAACTATTCTTTTGTCAAGATGGGATGGCATTTATGCAACAACGTAGACAAGCAGACACATATAACCAGGGTGCGAATACACGTTGATCTACTGTACACAACATCACTTCCCGCGTTGAACAGACAATGTCGCCCACATCAAGAAAAGGTTTAGGTACCTAGATACTAGATAATGTACTTTCACATTTGAATACATTTCATCTAAAACTGATCTTTTCCCATGCTGACCCACAAGAAATTAATTCATATTTGCAGACATTTTAAATATTTTGTTTAAAAGTAGGAATTCCGAGGAAATAACATCAAAATTCATTCAATGTGCCCTAAGATTCAGGCGCTTAACATACTGAGAGAGAGAGGCAGAATTTCCCATCTTTTTGATCTACAATTGAAAGCCTTTGAAGTAATTGCAGCAAAGTGCAATCAGAATTGCTTCTCATTATATTTGGTAGCATCCTCCAGAGCAGATTTATACACCTTCAAAATAATATTACATGATTGGGACTAAGCAAGATCATTTTCGTTTTTGATATACTCAATATATTGCATATTATAGAATGGTAACTACCCTATGGGTTCAGCTATTGTCATGTGAGGTGGTACTTTGTCTCGGCACCTTCACACTACCATAATAATAATCATCCTTGCATTTGATATAGCGCCTTATCACGTCATTGTGACATCTTAAAGCAGTTCACAGAGTATATTGTAAAAGTGAATTGACGTATATTTTGTGGGTGAAAGTGCTGAGAATGCAACGGATTGAGATTAAAAAAAGTCCTCAATATACTAAAATTAAAAACATGAAACGCTAACAAAAGGATAATTAAATGGAAATTTTCATGCATTTTTAACTAATGAATACAGAATATCGGGCCGAGCCAAACAATTAAACAATGATAAAACCACAAGATTGACAACATTAGTCAATTATCAAGCAATTACATTTCAAGAAATTATATAAGATCTTTAGAGATAACCATAGAAAAATAACTATTTCATACACAAACGTTGTGAAGCACAATTCAGTAAAATTAACAAATAAGAATTTTGATTTATTCAAGGTCTTTAAAGACCAGGCCAATAAATGCCACCTCCCATTGACACAACAATCTAAAAGTCACAACATACTAACCCTTTCTGTTACTTTATCCACTTCAATATACATGAAATTCAGATTCTGATCGAAGTGCTGGTCCTTGAATACACCCTTTCTGATCATCTGAAAAGAATCAAAATATTTTAATAAATAATACTCCTTGCATTTGATATAGCACCTTAGCGCGTCATCAAGACGCTTCACAACATATACTATAAAGTGTATATTTTACATATACCCAAACTATAAACACAAACCAGAAACACAATTAAGAACAAGATAATTTTGGTTAAATTCAATTCCACCAAAGCAAAGACAGTCACTGAGGAAATTAGATGGCAGCTATCATCAAGTGTCAATCGTCAAGTTCCTAACCTACTCCCCCCACCGCGCCCCCCCCCTCCCTCTCCAGGTGTAGTTTTGGAACTTGTGAAGATTTCTCCCCAGCTCCACTAATAATTAAGGATTTGTTCTCAACCCTAAGTGTTAAATTAAATGAACAATTACAAAATGGATTCTCAAAACCTTAGGGTACACATTTTCTATTACAAATTATAAGATTTATTTTCCTACCTTGTTTGGCATTTTGCCCTTTAGCTCCATCATGAGTTTCAGCATATGATTGTTAGTTTTGCCAGGAAATAAGATTTTTCCTGTGTAAAGTTCATACAGTGTGCAGCCAACAGACCACAAGTCAATGGCATAATCATATACCTTGCCAATAACTGTAAAAAGTAAATAAAAGTTTAAGTAAACATGAACATATTTTTAAAATACAATTGCTTATGGTTAGAACATTTGCGGAACTTTCCTTCCCAACATAAAATATAAATTGCTAAATGTTATCAAGTAACACATGTACACAGATGCTGGTTATATCCCAAGACACCTCACCATAGAATATTAAGACCCTGGATTACAACCCGATTTCCCACAAGGACTTTAGCTAAGTCATTGGTGAATTAAGGAAAGGAAAAAAAACAACTTAAAATCAGGGAGAGATTGGAGAAAGTGGAAAAAGTAGATTGGACACTGCTATAAGATGCAGATTTGTGCCCAATTCAAATTTGTTACCTGAGCTGCAGACAAGAAGATGGTGGCAATGCTCTCACGCATTTTACACTGAGCTGTTTTGCCCACCGGGAGGATCGCAGGTAATTCCTGGTAATTAGGGTGTCCTAACTGGACAAGCAGTGAGAAAACTTGCCAGATAGTGCTCTCAATGGCAAACTATATGTTTTTTTGCTGGTAAGACTCCAGCAGTACCCCAATACACACTCTGGGGTCCCCAAAACTTGATCCTTGCCAACCTGCACTTAATATTTTCTGGAAATTATGTTATTGAGAACTGATGGCAGCCTCAGAACAGGTTTTCAGATCACTTTATTGACCAGAAAATGTGTGTGGCATAGGGAGACTCAAAGGGAGGAAAAAAAACGAAATTATCAGAAAGTAGATTTTTACCTCAGATGTTAACATAAAAGATTTAAAACTTACTGATTTCTGGGGCTCGGTAGAACCTGCTGACAAGGTATGGTGTTATATCATTATCAGCAACGTGGGAAGCTGAGCCAAAGTCACAAAGCTTTAGGATAGTTTTGGATTCATTTACCTGCAGAGGATAAATTGGATGTTGAAGCAGTGTACAGCATTAACAAATAGTTGCCATCGGTCTAAACTTTGGAGAACACTTTTTGAAAGCAATACCCACAATGCGACAGGCCTCCAAATGATCTGCACACTTCTGATAAAGATTGAATTCCAAATTAGATATTTCAAATACAATTAGCTAGTAATTGTAGATATTTGTCGGTGTCGTGATCATCAAAATATTTTTGTGTATTTATTTTACTTTTCCTTTTTAACTTTTGTTAGTATCCTTCTAATTTTCTCCCCATTGGCAAAATGCTCCTGATCCCGAGTCTTCTCTTTCTGGAATGTGGTTCTATGGGCACGGGTTGCCCTCCAGTACCCCATCCAAGTGGCCACTGTTCAGTGCGAGTCTTGGCAGTGAGTATAAACTGGCTTCAGAGATGAACCCGACCTCGCTTCACTCGGTTGCCACACCTGTATACTTCCAGTAGTACTGAAGAGGAACAAGAAGCAGAAACCATAGTTTTGTACCCCTAACCCAGGGAAGACTACCCATGCAGCCCCAGCTGAGACCGAGAAACTCTGCATGGACCAGAATTCGAATCATCCACACAGACAATTCAGGAAATGAATGGTTTAAGAGTGAATCTTAAGAAGCTGCATTTCCTGAAGATTGGTAATGTGGACAAGGTATGCTTTATTGACAATATCATGTTTTATCCTTTTTGAATGTAAACAAATCCCTTATACATTCTTTCTTTGTATTTATCTCAGAGAAGGCCCGCATACTGAAGGTAGTCAGGACAGTGAAATGACCAACTAGATTTTGGCTATAATAATCTTTGCATTTGATGTAGCACTTTTCACGTCTTCTAGACGTCTCCAAGAGCTTCACAAAATACAATGCAAAGTGGACCGACTGTATATTTTGTGGGCGAAACCCAGCAGCCAGTTGCGCATAGATGTGTCCCACAAACAGTCATGAACTGAGTGACCAAATTATTATTTTTATTTAAATTTTTTTGAAGGGATTATTATCCCCGGAAAAGCGATCTGTCATTCGACTAGCAACTGGGTTCCTACTTACAGCTAGATAAACAGAGGCATGTGGAGTAAGGAAACTTGTCCAATGTTTTACCCTGCCGGGAATTGAACCCAGGGCCTCTCACTTGTGAGGCGAGTGCTCTAATCACTGAGTTACAGGCCTCCATAGCTTAATCAGCGGCATCAGCGGACTTAATCAGCAGCATGAAAATTGAATTAAAAGTTTTAACAATTTATTTACGCTATTCTCATCATATAACCTTACTCTTAACTTCAAAATAATCCCAGCGAGCTTGGATGCCACTGAATAAACTGTTATTTATCACAGCACATTATCACATTAGTAGCTCAGTGCTCATGTTGGTCCTGGTATTTGCATCCTGAAAAGCTGCTGAGACATTAAATATATTTTATCTGTCACTGGAGGTTTTAAAAACATCTAAGGCATTGTAAGCAAATGATGCAGGTAGGAGAATCTTTAGCATATGCCTCCATACGAGAAAACATAATTTTGCATTGTACAATTTAGTCAGCTTCTGTTGTTGGCTGATAGGAGCATCTTATTCTGGTGTACGGAAAGGCAGTAGCTGGAGACAGCATTAGGATGTGAAACATTTGGTGACTTTACTTTCTACAGCTTATAGAACTTGAATGAAACACGTGAAACATCTGCCAATCACAAATTCATCCGAGATCTATAAATGTGAATATACAAAGCTGACAATTTTCACTTGCTGTTTTCACTGTTTTCATCAGAAGACAAGAGAGAAGTCAAACAGCTCTGTTTAATAATACTCCCTTCCTCTTGTCTGGAAAAAACATCAACAATTCCTTCATGATTGGCAGGTAGGTTGGTACTAGATTATATAGTTAAGACAAGACTGTAATTTCATGTCTCCTTTTTCTTTCTTACTTGTTCCTAAACAAAAAACTGGAATACCGATTCAGTGACCAAGTCAATAACTTAAAAACTCAACTGATGGGAGATAAAATCACTTGACAACTTCTACTCCCCAGTTAATTTTTTNATATAAGTTAGTAATAAATCAGAAATGTACAAACTATTGTTTCAATTTGTTGGAGACAAAGTTAATTTACCAGAATATTGTCGGGTTTGATGTCAGCGTGCAGGATGTTACATCTCTTCAGCAATTTCAGAGCCAGGAACAGCTGTTGACTGTATGATCTCACAGCTTTTATATGAAGACCCACATCTTTTCCATATTTTTTCAACACTTCACGCAAGTTCATACTGTGGAGAAAAGGAAATTCTCACTACTCAAACTGTGTAAACGTACAGAATAATTTGTAGAACTTGCACAGAGCATGATTCAGTTTTGGAAAATCATTTATAAAATAGCAAGCATTACCTCAGAGGTTCAAAGACTAAACAGAGATGTTGTTTGTGGTAAAAATGTCTGAAGAGTCTCAGGCAATGGAACTTGTCATCGGGATCTGCATCATTTAGTTTTTTCAGGAACTCCAACTCTTTCAGGCCAGTCTTCTGCCTGCAATGCAGAGTCAAAATTTAGTCACAAAATAAACTTCAACTAAACATTAGATTCCATGATTGGAACTGGAACAAATCCAACACAAAACCCAAATTACAAAAAATTTATACAAAGTGGAAATAACTGGCTGCAAATCTGAACTAATGGCATTTCATCAAAGAAAGTGAAGAGTTAAAAGATTTTACAATAGTACCATTGATTTTGAATAACTAAATCAACTTTTAACAGATCAATAAACCTTCAATACAAATAGTGGAGGTGCCTTTTCATCTCTATGAACACTCAAACAGATTTTTAGTCAAGAATCAGAGCTGAATACATCGTGAGATTATCATCACTGTAATTAGTACAGATCAATTAAAAAGCTAACAACTTACAACGGTACATCATTACTTTAGGTTAAGGCTCCTATCATCAGTCAGGATTTCAGCAAGCTATTTCCAGATTTCAGTCTCAACTTAAAAAAAAGCTCATTAGGAGTCATGTTTTCATACTCTGGGAATGTCTTGGAAGCCATTCTCCTTGGCTCCCGCCAACGTCTTCTCTCCTGCGGCTCTGACCTCCTCAGCCTATCCCTCAAGCTTACCAAATCCTGTATGTAACCTAGGCATCAAATTTAATCCTCAAATATCCTTCCTACTTCAAACCTGGTCCACTTTCCTCCACCTCAGTGATATTGTGTGCCTCCGACCACATCTCAAACCCAACACAGCTGAAACCCTCATTCATGCGTTCGTCACCCTCGATTATTCCAATGCCCTCCTCACCAGTCTTCCCAGTTCCACTATCCACAAAAATCCAATTAATTCAAAACTCCACTGCCCATACGCTCATCTGCATCAAACTCTTCTGAGTCAGAAGGTTGTCAGTTCACAGTACCAATGTGGAACCCACAATTTCTGATTCAGAGGTAAAGGCGTTACCAACTGAGCCAGGCTGACCACATAAACATCCAAATAGACTTACCTTACAGTCTCAAACATCTGTAGGAAAATAATCACTTGACAACGGAATTCTCAGTTTAAAACAAAGTTGGTAACACACTGAAATAAGTACATTGTGTTTTCATTAAGCAAGAGCATCTTTGGAAGGTTATTTGTGCGACACCTTGATTTACTGTACTTGACACGATGAATTGATCCAGGTACCGATTCTTTAGAAAATTTAAATGGTAAATTTGGGATCTATGCTGTTGTTCACAGCAGTGGTCAAGTTCAAAGTGATGATGCTAGGTCATATAAAAGTCACAAAACCCTCCCCTTCGACCGAGCCTTTGGTCACCCTCCTACCCGCCCCGATCCTGTGCCCCAGCTCGGGTCCAACTCCCTGACTCTCCAGCACCTCGGGACATCCTCTCGATGCGAAAGGCGCTATACAAATGTAATTTTGTATTGTATACAAGTTCAAACTAGTTTATATATATATGCCATAACATAACTGTTGCCTTTGCCAGATGATTCAAGTGATATGTTGCTGAAGCAATATCATAGCATTACAGGGCAGGATTGTGCTTAACGCTCTCCTATTTTCAACCTCAGTAAAACTGCGGAAGAAACTTACATGAGCTCATTGTTCCTGATGATTTTGACTGCCACTTCGCGGCTGGCCCATGCCATGTCTCTTGCTCGCACCACATTACTGAAGACTCCTTGACCAGTGTAACCATAAACACTGTAGCGTTTTTCAAGGACTTCACCAATATTCACCCCTATAAAATACAAACATTTAATTTTGAAAATTGAAAACCGTATCTGTGAGAAAATGGAATGACTCTCACTCAATTCAACAGATTGCTTAAGCAGATCTTAAGGAACAAGTTTTAGTTAGCAATGAGAAAAGCTCGACATTACCAGCTGGGCAACCAAGGTGGGTGGGGAAACGTTAACTGAAAGGGCGGTCTAAGAATTAGGTCTTGACGTACCTTTAAAGAGGGGAGTGAGGGAGCGAGTCGGAGGGACTCCAGGAATAAAGTTCCAGAGAGCAAAAGCAAAACGGCAGTGGAGGGTCAGATGGGGTGGCGGGGGGGGAAGCAAGCTGGTGTTTGCTGGGCAAAGGAACAGTCAGGTTGGAAGGTCACAGAGGTACGGCGGGTAAGAGGGATGAAGGCTGTAGAGGAGTTTATCACTGGGAAAAGGGCAGCTTTGTGGAGGAAACTGCACTACAAGACATGGCAAGTCTGTCCTCGGTACCCAATCCCCAGTGGCCAAGGGAAGCTCTGATCATCTGTCCCGACAGTGAACCACGAAACACAATCAAGCGTGCAGCTCACAATCTTGCAGTGGAGAAGTCAGCAGTTGGGAGGACGCAGTTGGTCAGGAGATTCGCTTGCTTTCCTTTCAGCTAGGGAGATGCTTCCTGACAGGCTGCAACACACTGAAGCCCTGCAAGAGGTGGAAATAATGCCACCCGTTGTTGCAGTCTGTCAGGAAGTCCCCTTGTAGCTGAGGGGAAGGCAAGCGTGTCTCCTTACCAGCCACGTCCTCCCAACCACTAGCTCCTGCCACTGCCTGACAGGACGTTCGCCGGGGAATGGGGGAACGGGCGGGCTGGATGCGGTCTGCCAGTTGGACCACCTTAATTTAGCTGAACAAAAAGCCACAATTCTACATGCAATTATGCATTCACAGTAAAAGGAATGTATGTGGTTATGGATAAACAAAAACTATCATGCTTCTGATTGCAAATTAGATTCTTAAGACAAGTGTGGGTGCAGTCTTAGTACTGCTCTATCCAACTGGCAAATACAATACTTAAGATTACTTAAGCAGGAATCTATGGATTGAACAGCTCGATTAAGATTAGAAAATCAATTTTCCCTTCAGCTCTAAGCAGGTACCAGATTCCATCAAACAGGATCTTGTAAATGATCCTTAGAAAAAATCTTTCCCAGAAAGAATGGCAAGCCATCATTGGAAGTTCAAACAATCCTGCTCCAACTGCAAATGCTCAGCAGTATTTATTTTTAACATCTTTCAGCACTTCCCATTGACTTAATTTTTCTTTAAATTTTGTTTCTGCTCAGGGCATCAGATATGGTTTTCTGCATTGCTTTGAGGTGCTACAGGGGAAAGATTATAGAGATGATGCTGATATATTATATTCTGTCCAATCACTGGTCACAAGTGCGAATTACCTTGTTTAAATATCTTGAGGATTCCACAGAATCTCTATGGATTATCTCCCTAAGCAAGCCTGTAACTACATTGATCAATGCTGGTGTTCGTTAATGGGTCAAGTGATGCACTGATTAAAAAAACGCCTTAGGTTTATGCCCTTAAAGATTGAGGTGATGCCAGTATTAGTAAGGCAATACCAGTTGCAATGAGAAATCACTTTATGTATAACTTAAGACTGGTAACTATTACCTTAACAAGTTTATTTGAGCAATTGTTTGAAGATTACCGGCCTCAGAAGGACTGAATACCTCAATGGGTTCAACAATGTTTTCAAATTTAGAATAATGAATGAAGATTTCCTTTTTCCACTGGCTAGTTAAATGATCTTGCTGTGTTTCAGCCCCTTGACTGGCAGGCATGATCCATAGAACTACCAAATTCTTAGCAATAAGGCCTCATGATTGATTGTTGCCAATGGAAAAATTACAGTATTTGCCACTGAGGCTTCTCATACTATCATTTACAGAACCTGAAGTCACAGAGCTCTTAAATGAGATTCTCATACGAGAACACAAATACAATTTACATAGACAAAACTGTGTTATATGCTTACAAAACAACCTGGTGGTAAGGAGACTGTTTGCAAAACACTGCTTGTTATCCTGCACTAGCCTAGTTCTAACCCCTGCTAACTGGTGATGAATTCAGGATTTTGTAAGATTCTCAGTATCTGCTATATCAAATTTTAATAAGCATTCTTAACATGCCAACTGTCAAAACGATAGACATTAAGGTGCTGCAATCAAGGATGATTTTGACCGCAAACAAGTGTTCGGTGAACACCTTGGGTGGAATCAAGCTGAACTGGAGAAAACCATACTGTTAATTTATTTGCTTTGCATGAAATTTCTGAAATACTTACTGACTTACCATTCAAGTCTACATTGCCTGTGCGGTCTATATTGCCTGTGTAACTTGCCCAAACATACCATGACATTACCATCTTTACCAACATTCCATTTTTCAAGATCCATAGTTCCACTATGCATCAAAAATATCCCACACTGTTTGACATAAGCAGTATATTTTCTCCAAGGCCAAAACCCCTTTGGCAAGAGCATTCTGAATGTCCCAGGATCCCCTGAAATGCAGAGCAGTTCTGTTAACAGAAAGGGAACAAACCTCCAGGTTTCCTCCATTCATGTATCAGACAAGATAAAGTCTCCATTTGTCAGCAAAATATCAAAAAATGTTGACTAGTAAGAAAGCTGCACAAAATGGACAGAGTAGACAAAGGTGCAAGCCTTTTGAATCCATTCCTGGAATAACCACCCCATGCCACCTCCCACCAAACACACTATTCTTCTCTCCTCTCTCGTCAGTCACACAATTTCCCCCACCCATCCCCCAACTATTGTTTGGTCTGCATGTATTGGGGAATGTATGGGCCTCAAACTAATGTAAGGTAGGTCAGTGGTCTACCAACAGAAACAGACTTCTTTCCAAGCCCATAATCCTTTCTGTTACAAATACCCCATGCCATCTCCAAAGAAATGTTACCTTCCTGTAGAAGATGGGTGCTAAGTCGAAGAAATAATTTACTAAAATCAGCTCAGGTTGAGCTAATTTTGATGTACTGTGCTTGTGCGCTCATCAAGAAGAGGAATATTGATGTTGGGTGAATGGAACACCTCTACATTTCATACAACTGTTGACATCAAGAACTTCCAAGCAATATTCATGTGCTGGAAAAAGCACATTCTTACCCTCTTCCCACAATGATGGGAAAGCTAATCCCAAACACCAAAGTAATGAAGCAAAAATTCCAGGTTATTAATCTGACAATGTTATATCCACCTTTCACTATTCTGGCAATCAAGCTACTGCCAGGACAATGGAAGGCGAACTGGATGGACCTTGGTCTTCTTTCACCTAATAAATTCTTATGTCCTTTTGTTCTTATCAGCTCTGAACTCCCGTGATTCCAAGATCAAGTAGAACTGTTCAGATAATGCTCCCATGGTTCCAGCATCAGAGCCATACTGAAAATATCCTGTATTTCATTTGTATAGGATCAACGATGGCTTTACAATAAGTAAAGCGAAAAGACCTTCCTCAATAGCCACAAGGACTGCAAAGTTTGTCCATCATGGCTAAGATTGAGAAAAAATTGTACAAGTCTCCCAATAAATTGTGATGAACCACAGAAAAAANTCAGAATATTTGGAAGTTAGTAGATAAGGAATTGAGTCATGCGACAGGTAAACCCAGTTACATGTTACTTGATATTAAATTTTCTCTCCTGATTGGGATATGGTTCTACAGATAAAATACACCTCTGGTAATTTGGCCAAGAAACCATGCTTTATGTGCAAACCTAAAATGGTGATTCCAGATTATCTGATTGTGGAGGACATTAATGAAGCCTGACATTTATCACCTGATATCCATAAACTTTCCAGAAGGTTAATAAGATGCTTGGAGTGGAAATCTAAAGGTTATTCACCTCCACACCAAATTGTCTGGATTATAAAAGACTCTCGGTCCTCTGAACCCACTGGTCAAAGCAAACCAATGGGTATATAGTAGGGATCATTTGATTCAACAATGAACGCAACACAAAACTGAGGACAATAATTTTCAGGACAACTAGGAGGGAAGATAAGTGCTTTATAACTGCATCATAAAGGACAAGCCCTCCATAATAAAGGAGTACAAAGTGGGGGTGAGAAGAGTGGACTTTCTCTGGAATGCCCAGAGCTAACTAACTTTCTGGAGTCTCAGTGGTCCGGTATCTAATACTTCAGCCTGGAGATAGTTGTACCTGAGACCACATTGATGACCACTGTGGTAATCTATGACTCATGTGTTGCATGGAGCAATGATGTCGACTAAATACCTACAGACCTGTTGAAAACCATGAGTGGCACTGGTAGTGCAGTGGTACACCGTGCTGTGGTTCCAATGCTTGTTGCCAAGGAGTGATCAGATGCGGGTCTGTAGGCAATCTGCATGGAGGAAAAACTGAAGGGTGAGTCATCACCAGGCTGGTCTTATGTGCCTTCTGGGGGGCTGGCTCAAGAGCAGCAATTGGCAGATGCTTTGGAGCACGTGACAGATGCCTTGGAGCAGGGTGCTGACTGGCCCTCTCGGCTGCAGTAGGTGTGTGAACTGGAGAGCTGAACAAGGGAAAGGAGAAAGTAAGTTTAAAAAAGGAGTTTGCAGCAACCTCCAAAGTGTTATCGATTAGAAAAACTGAAACTCTTTTAGGATGTTTACACATCAAACAGCGAACACACTGCGTCAGTAGAAGCATCTTAGAAAAGATGCTCGACACAGATAGGTTCAAACTTGCACCAGAAGATTGAGATAGGTACTCTTAATAAGTACCAGTTTAGCACCCAACAACATTGAGGCCCTCCAGATTGCAGGAAAGACACTTCATCCCTGGTCAGCTTGTTTAGTCTTTAACAAATCCCTCTTCCCTGTAGTACTTTTTGATTCTTAGGGTTTAGTGCCAGCATGTGAAGTGGCACCATTCTGTGCTACAGATTACTTTTCAATGCTACAGTGTCTCTCAAAATGACCTTTGAGAGGACTGACAAGCTTTCAAATGGCCTCAAATGGATTTCAAACAAAAACACAGTTTGGGAACCCCAAACGCATGAAGTACACCATGTCTGCCTTATGTAGGTAAAGGTCCTCCCACCACACTGAAGGCAGATGTCCACCAAATAGCTGATGAGGAACCTCTGAGGCTTGGGGTGACAGCTGCTGGAAGGTGATACCCGTGAACACAGCGATTGGAATTCACCTTGATTGGCTTTCAGAGAGGTAAGCAACTGCTGTTTAAACTCCACACCTCCAACTGGTGGAACCATTGCTCAATGGGATGCGTGCCCGAACTGTGGACAGGAAGATGATGGCAAGGTTCTCATGCATTACGGCTGAGCTGTATTGCCCATCAGAAAGAGGGGAAGGGAGAAGAGGTAAGGGGGCTCTCCTTGAAGCTGAACTGGCTTCAGGGTGTTACTGCCCTGTGTGGTGGTCGTGGTAGTCCAGTTCCTAAGCCAGACGGATCCACAGCCAGCCTGGCTCACCGGCAGGATGTGGAAGGGCAGACTAGTCACTGGGGGCAGGGAATCCTCCCACTCAGCTACTGTTAACCTTGCAAGCCAAAGGCCTAACAGGTACAGTGGTCCTAGCTGGACAACCTCCAGGAAAGCTTGCCAGACAGTGCTCTCAATGGCAAGCTATGTGGTTTTAGCTGATTAAGACTCGAGTAGTACCCCAATGCACACTTAAGAGTCTTGGCTCTTGCCAACCTGCGCCTAATACGTTCCAGAAATAGGTAAGCAGGATGCGTCCCTCCAGGGAGAGAGTGCGCATTCCATCCCAACAATCTATCTCTGGGATTTCCATGTGTAAGTGGGAAGCATGGAAATCTCAAGTTTGGTTTGGATACTCTTAAGCATGGTGATGGGATTCCGCATGTGTCAGACACCTGGCTGACAAGAAAACAAACAAAAAAATGTGGGTGTGAGTTTTGACTTGACCAAAAGACCTTGAGACAAATGAACAAATTCTCCAGAATAGAAAATTTCACCAACTGAAAAAGAAGCTGTCACCAAACACACAACAGCTGGAAGTACAAGCCGAATGGGCAATCATTTAAAGTAGGGAAAAAGCATTCATCCTACTCAAAGAAAAGCACCTCTGGAAGAATGGCCTAGAGAGAAAAAAAACAGGATTGGTCTGAAACAATGGGCCTTACACAGCCCAGAAGCAAGATTGTTAGGCTATAGGAAAACATTCTTAAGAGGTACAATTCAGTTATTTTACCCCTATGATCAATGGAATTAATCTAAATTTACACATAAAATAAATGACACAATGGAAATGATTTGGAGTGTTCTGCGGAGGTTATTGGTTATTGCTGGGGTAGTGAGTTTTAGTCTGCATTTACCTATGATTTTCCTAATATAGAAATGTTGAAACTGGAGCCAAAGATGGAAGTGTGCCATTCTTCCAACAAATATAATTCTTAATACGTCATTCATAGAATCATCATAGAATCCTACAGCACAGAAGGTCATTCTGCCGTCGTGTCTGTGCCCGCTCTTTCTCTTCAACCGTGCCTTCAGCTCCCCCCTCGACTCTCTACCCTCTCCTTGCTCCCCCCCTTCCCTCCCCCTGACCATTTCTCCCCTGCTCGGGTCCCGACCCAACCATCCAGCGCCTTGGGACGTCCTCCTGACGCGAACGACGCTCTATAAATGCAATTTTGTTGTTGTTGAAAGAGCTACCCTATCAGTCCCACTTCCCGCCCCATAGCGTTGCAATTTTTTTTCTTTTCAAGCATATATCCAATTCATTAGTGAATCTGTTTCCAACACCCTTTCGGGCAGTGAATTATTTTTACAATATACATTTTTTAAAAATGAGCAATAAAATATGGCGAATACTTTATTACAGTATACAATCTTTTTATTCCATTAGGAATAAACAGAATAACAAATCAAGAAAGCAGTATTGCATGATAAACTTTAAAATACACTGTGCAACCAGTATTTTTCACGGCCCATTTAATTTTGCTATATTCGTGCTGGAAGTGTTTGTGTGAAATTAAATGGGCTGTAAAAAATAAATTAAACTTACCTTTACTTTAATGGGATAAACAAGTGCAATCCTTAGCAATTGAGTGAAAATATAGGGCTGCAAAGAAAGAGCTGGGCCTGTTCTGCAGAAGCAAGCAGGTGCAGGATTACAGAAATCAAATCATACCGAACTTATCTTTTAATTAAACCATCAGCTACTCGAGGATCCCTCCCCATGTTAAATTGAAAACCGGTGAAATACTCACGATAGTAGCCTTCTGCATCCGTCCAGTTATCCCTGAGATTGGGATTTTCTTTGAAATCTTTTCCAAAACCAGCAGCTCTCAGGTGAGCACTCTAGAAACATTAAGTTAGTGAACTTAATGAGCATATTTAGGTTGTTTGTATGGAGTATTTAAGAACAGCAAGAGCGTGTACGGGTTAAAAACATCCTTGTACCAAGGTTTCATTTGCATTCTTGAATTTTTCTCATTCAAATTCTAGAGATTCAGAATAGGCTATTAGTCTTTCATTAGTGTGTGTGTGAGGGAGGGGGGGGGCAGGTGTGGGAGGAGGGTGCAGCAACCAAATATTATGAATAAAAAATGTTCGGCTCTGGTGGAAATCTATTCTACTGCAATCAAAATTCCAACCAGATAAGCCTCCTAGAGGAGTAAATGCTTCCTGAATAAGAGTCCCTGATTGAGTAAGAAGGTATCTTCTGTTGATAACATCTAGGACCTACACATTTGTTGTGAATGGATTACACGGTCTTGAAGATATTACGAAGTGATCATCCACCTGGTGCGAATAGCAAACTTATTCCTGGGGGAGGGAGGTAGCAAGAAAAGAGAAAGAATCCTAAATACTAATATTTGTTGGCGGGACATCCTAAAGCACTTCATAGGATATGCTGTAAAGTACAGTGACTGTGATTTGTAGGTGAATGCAGCAGAATGTCACAAACAGCCAAAAAGTGAACAACACATTTTATTTGGGGGATTGTTTGCCAGGACATCGGGAGAAACTCCCTTCTCTTTTCAAACAGTGTCATGGGATCTTTAACATCCACCTGAAAAGGCAGATGAGACTTCGATTTAATATCTCAATTCAAGAATAGCGCTTCCAACAATACAACACACCTCCAGAATTGTGTTTGGAGTGTCATCTTAGACTATATGTGTTCCAAGTCACAACCTGAGGCTTGAACCCAAAACATTCGGACTCAGAGGCAACAGTGAGACTGAAACTAAGATTTCAGGCGAACATTAAAGTTCCCATGGCACCATTTGAAAATGAAAGAGTTTTGTTCTAGCCAGCAATCCCCCAATGGCAATTCACCTCCTGGCTGCGTGTGGGACTTCCTTGCTGTGCACAAATTAGCTGCCACAATCCCTACAAATACAGTGACTAGGATTATAATACAACTGAGCTAAAGATGCCCATGATCTATAATTTAGAACCAGAATATACTCTTGAAAGTTCAGAACAAAGGCAGCTTATAAAGGCACTGCCTTGCCATTGTTAATAACCAAAAGGTTAAGGGATTTTTATTATGCAATGGAAACAAAGCGTAAAACATTTCAACCCTTTGGGCTGGATCCTGAATCATCTAGTCAGGCTGTAAATGAGCATGCATCCTTGTTTTCATTCAAGGAAACTCCAGTTGCTACAGACTGAGAGCTTGAAGCTTCAGGCAAAGCACATTGGCAATCACAAAATCTCAAACCCTGTCTTGGTGATACATTGAAAAATTACTAAAAAAAGTTTGGTTATTCAAATCAAATGGGGAAAAAGATATGATGGAAGGTTTGAGCGCCATCTGACCCAACGTTTCCTTCAAGGTAAATACATACATCAAAATATGCAGCAAACATATCATCAGATTCCGTAAACATGTCTGGAACTGTTGGCTTCTTCGCAGCTCCTGCACATAAAACACAATTCTCAATGTCAAAACATGAAACACAATCTGCAGCTAACATTGCAAATATATTAAATTCACAGAAGCTAGAAAAAAATGCGCATAAACATTCATTCAGAAAAGAACCCCATATACTTATAAAAAGTTACCAACCTAAAATAAAGGAACTTTCACCTATGACATTGTTCATTTCCCTTCTAACTGTTTGTTTGCATTTTTACAGTACACAGTTCCACTTTCGGTCACAAAGATTAAATATTAGAAAGAGGCAATGAAGGTAAGAATTTAATATGGAGCCAGTATGGATGAACCATTCCTGGAAATCCTTACAAAAGGCTTTAATGTTTACTGAAGCTCTTCAGCTTAACCTTTACCTCTTCATCAAGAGACAAATACTTGAAAACGACAACTCCATCCGCCACCTCTGTATATTAGAGGAAAACCCAGGATTAATTGCCAACTGAAGCAGTGAAAGGGTACATATTGGCAATTGCTCTGACTTTCATAGCAACAACATATCAAGGACATTGATATCCAATTCCTGGAACTACTTTGCCTGGTTGATCTTCCTTGCATTAGTGTGCAGTGCCTCAGCCTGAGGAGAGTGCTACCAACTACACTACCGACTGGGGGTATGAAGATTTGTGCGGGTGAGTATCCGGGCAGCGGAGTTCTGAATTAATTGAATTTTGTGCATGGTGGAACTTGGGAGACCAGCGAGGAACGCATTTGAAAAGTCCAGCCAGGAAGTGACAAAGGCATAGGTTTCGCCTGCTGTGGGTGTGAGGTACAGAGACAGGCAATGTAGCGGAGGTGGAAAAAAATGGTACTGGGGGGAAGACACACACAGAAACTCACACTCAGAGAGATACAGACTCAGAAACACACACACCACAGACACAAATTCAGAGACACAAGCTCACTCACAGAGAGACATTCACAAATATATACTCGCACTCACAGATAATTACAAACGCACACAAACAATCACATAGAGACAAACATATATGTAGAGAGACACACAGATAACAGTAGAGCCTTGGAGTCCAGTGAGGCCCATTTCCTGCTATAATCTCATCGCCCACAGAGGGGGCATTGAGCCGTCAGCAACGCACAGAGGCCCGGAGACCACTGCGTTTTTAGAGGAGGGGGGTGCTTATTGCGGAGGGGGCAGTTTATAGCCAAGGAGTGTTTACAGTGGATTCCGCAGAAAAATTGTGACCAAAATTCTATTGGTCCTGGTTATAAATGAGGAATCGCTAAACCAGAGTGGTATAATGGGATTCCCCTAAGTATTCATGAATTAAAACACAACCTGCAGCATTGAATGAGACTTGTTCAATGTAATAATAATAATCCTTGCATTTTGATATAACTCTTTTCATGTCTTCTAGACGTCTCAAAGCGCTTCACAGAATATACTGCAAAGTGAATTGACAGTATATTTGTGGGCGAACGCGGCAGCCAATTGCGCACAACAGTGTCCCACAAACAGTCGTAGATTGAAAATGACCAATTTATTATTGTTTTGTTTTGGAGGGATTATTATAGTACTTATGTTCAAAATGATAACATTTCACAGCAGAGACTCAATGTATCCATACCACCTAAAGAGACCAATCCATTTAATCCCATTCTCCTACCTTCCTCAGAACATTTTGTATTTGTACTTCTTATATATGCCTTTGCAAAACTATCATAGTTCTTCCCCCACAGTGTGTAAAAAAAATTCAAAGTCTCAAGTGTGGGGTTTTATAAATCAGAAACCCAGCTTCATACAAATGTCCTCAATGCTTGGTTGTTATAAGTCCCGAATCCACAAATATTCAGTCCTCTGAGGATTAATTGCACTGTACACCCACTAAAGCTCACCTTCTTTTTGCTCAACTGCCATGAGGTTGCGTTTGGCATTTACAGAAGCCTCAAACGTGTCAATATTTTCCCTTTCATACTCCTTGACATCAGCTGCAGCTCGTTCAAAAATATCATCAGGTGAAGGGGAACGGCTACGAGTGCTGCTCTGAGGACTGTTGGGTTCAGAGAATCCAGACATGTTGCTGTCTTCATTTGGGTTTCTATATTTCTACAATTCAAGAAACAAATTAAGCTTTCAGTGACACATTTGACTTTAACACAATTGCTGAGCCATGCAAATCAGAAAATGTGACTCGAAAATAAACTGTTGGACTCCTACATAAAAAGTTTCCATGAATGCATGTTTTACCTTGTTGCCATCTTACAAGATTAGATTTCTCTGAACATAGCACACATTTCATTTACAACTCTGAGCAAAGGGCACCAATTTTAAAATGTGAATACAATTTTATAAAACTGCTACAATGAAGGAAGAGTTCCAAATGAGCAAAAGATGTCCATTTTAAAAGGTTAACCCCTCTCTTCCCAAATACAAACTGATGTACTGACTTCTCTACAATTGCATGCAGTCACCTAGTACCTCTCAGCAATGTGGAACAACGTAACGTCAACAGTGAACATACTGCAAGGCACCTTTGTGAAGGCCAAATATAAAAATCTGAACATAACATTATGATTGGCCTCATTACTAATTAATGAAAGCATTTACACCATTCAAGATTTGATTCATCAATGTAATGAGGACCACAAACACAATGTTCCACAATTCAAAGCTAAATGAAACCTAAAGCCACCAGCATACCTGAACAATTGCTAATCTCTGTTCACGCCTTTGTTTGATAACAGCTTCTTCATCTTCCTCTTCCACATCAAAGTCCTCCATGCTGGGTATAAAACAGTTATTACATTTAAACATTGCATAGAACATTTACAATAATAAATGTCATTTCTAGAAGGTACGCAGCATGACAAAAGCCAAACAAATTACAATGTGACTAAAATAATTCACAGACAAGTTAAAAGAATAATGGGAATTAAGGAGATAATGATTAACTTTTATATCATAATAATTCTCATGAACTCACAACTTATTATTATTATTACTTGTTTCCTTGAGGTAAAAGTTCCTGCTCCTGGTTGGTAATTCAATCACACGTTGGAAAACATGCATTTAATGACATAGGATGAGGACAGGATCAGGCTTGGATGTGATGCCCTTCATATCACCTGCCATTTTCTGTAGAACTAGTTCCACTTCACATTTACCTTATGTTCTACACCATTTGAAAACCTTTCAGTTGTCCTCGTATGCATTCAAGTATTTTATTTCTAAAAAGATTAAATTAAAACACTACATCTTACTTTTCATCAGAGGATTCTTGTTCAACTTTCATTCCTTCAGAAAGACTTCCCTTAAATTTGTCTTCTTTATCTCTGTTACCACTCATACGTCCACGGCGACCTCTTGACCTAGATCGCCTTCTTCGAGATCTGCTTCTCTGATTCCAATCTCTATCCAGAGAATGAGCGAGGGGAAAGGGATGAAAAAGAGATAATAGATATGTAAAAATGAATTTGCAACATTGTCACAACAATAAGCAAACGGTACAGTTGCTTAAAGGAAACTTCCTAAAATTAGGCATGTTAGAGAATTTGTTTTTTTTTAAAAAACAATTTAAAATCAAAACAAGATACAAATGAGAAGCTTTTGAAAGTAATCCTTTTGTAGTGAATGACAGACAGAATTCATAATAATGTCTGATACATCAAGAAATCAACCCAAAGCCACATTTAAAACAAAGGTGGTAAATTACAACTTACATACGTTTTGCTTTGCTGGAAGGTGCATTCTACAATAAATAATACTTCATATTTGAACAGAAAATGCAATCTGAAACTATCAGAAGTAACTGAAAGTCATGATACGAAAGCAATGTTTAATTTACCACAAATAAGTTTCTTTGAATAAATCATTTGGATATCATTATCCAATAATCCAATGTTTTGAAATTTAGTAATCTTTTGCATATCGCTACTAAGTGATAGAAATCTTCAAAATATTCCCCAAAAGCTTACTGAATTTTTCATTCTTCAGTCATTCATCTGAAGAATGAAAATATGTAGTTAATAAGGCATGAGTTCCTTACCAAACACCTCAACTTTATCACTTCCATGAAACCCATATCATTACCAGTAACATTATCTAGTTATATCAAGCAATTAGTTAGTTAGTCGTTTAACAGACAAAGTTTAGACATCTCATTATCACGGGCCCATGGAACAAAGGCTACCATTCCTGCCTCTGAATCATCAGCTTCTCGCTAACATCACTTCCTGCGTATGTACCGACATTGATGTATGCTGCACCTGAGCATAGGAAGCCAGCCAAGCAATTTCCAGGCCTCCTGGTCCTTATGTTTTCATAAATACCATTTACAGTATAAATATGCATTCCAGCTCGCATTTTTTTTTAATGCAACAGATTACCTCCTTCTGGATCGGCTTCTCCTCCTTGGAGAGCGACTTCGTCTGAGAAGAGAACGAGATCTCCTTCTGATCGGAGATCTGCTGAGTCTTCTCCTTGAAGGAGACCACCGCGATGTACTTAAATCTCTGGGTCGTTCTTGCCTACCCAGTGCCTCATCTCTAGACCGTGTTCTAAAAATGGCAATAAAAATGATTATATAACACCAATTGAAATAATTTTTGATATGCATTTCTGAAAGCAGTGCCTTTTGGTGCTGTGATGTTGCAATACACTAAAGCTCTAGCTGGATGGAATAATTGGGGTGAGATCCAGTCCAGAAATGGCATTTCTGGGTCAAAGTCAATATCCCTGACCATTGAAGGCCAGCAACAACAACAAATTGCTTTCATGTCAATTGCACTTTTCATTTGGGAGGACATTCCAAGGCACTGGATAGTCGAAGGTTTGCAACTGAGCTGGGGGTTGGATTCAAGAGTAGGGAAGATAATAATTAATAATCCTTGCATTTGATATAACGCTTTTCACGTCTTCTAGACGTCTCAGAGCGCTTCACAGAATAGACTGTAAAGTGAATTGACTGTATATTTGTGGGCGAAATGCGGCAGCCAATTGCGCACAGCAATGTCCCACAAACAGTTGTGGATTGAAAATGACCAATTTATTATTGTTTTGTTTTAGAGGGATTATTATTAGGCGTGTGGAGGAAGGAAACTTGCCCAAGGCTTCGCCCTGACCTGCCTGGATTTGAACCCAGGTGTCTCGCTTGTAAAAAGACCTAATGCCATGACTAAACATGGCAATGAATAATCAGGCTGGATTCTTAAAAATGCACTCTAATGTACTTCTACACAGACAACAATTAGGTTCTGTATATCTCAATTTGTTAACGGTATACAAAAGGCCTAGTAAATAAACAGTAAATAAACAGAAATGCCGTGGTGGAAAAATTCTTTATAATGGACAAGTGGATACTGAGCCAAAGTATCTGGTCAAATGATACTACAGCAGCTATTATATACATTATGTTGATCTATTCCATTGTGATCCTTCAATTTCAACTCTTGGTTTTTGGCCATCAGAACATTTGTTTCATTTGAAACAATATACCAGTCAGAAAACAAAAGATGACCAAAGGCACAGTTAAAGAGGAAGGCAAGGTCAGGGGTGAGGCTAAGGGACTCCAAGATAATAAATATAATAATCCTTGCATTTGATATAGAGCTTTTCCTGTCTTCTCCACGTCTCAAAGCGCTTTACAAAATAGACTGTAAAGCGAATTGACCGTATATTTGTGGGCGAAATAGGATGGAGTTCCAAAGGGTGGGGCAGAAAGGTTGAAGGCCCGACTATCGATGTTGGGCCAAGCAGGGAGGGCGGTGGGGATATGAAGCCGGCCAGTGCCTACTGAGTGGAGTGAGAGAGGGTTTTAGCAAATCGCAAAGGTAGGGTGGAGGCTTCAAAAGGAGGGCTTTAAAAGTGAGAACTAGGATCTTGATCCTCTGCAGGATGAGACACCGGTGGAGCCAGGCGAGGATGGAGGTGATGGGTTCATGGAGCTTGTTGAGGGAGGCCACTGAGGCCGGGGCGGTGATAGAAGAGTGGGTGGGGATCTACATGTAGGTTTGCAAAAAATGTTTCTGATGTTTAGGTTGCGGGTTCAGTCGAGCTAAGTACGAATTCCAACACCGGTTAAGCTGGGGGTAATACTGTATTACATTTCTGCCAGTGAGAGATGTTGGTGAACAATATGAATACTCCAGCAATGTCCAATGGGAATACTGCCATAATTACAGCAAAAACAGTTTTCCTCATCAGTACCAGATTTTAATGAATTGCATGCCAGTCAAGAGATATTAATAACACTGTGATATATTACACTTCCAGCCTGAACAGTTTTGGTTAAATTCTCAGATTCACTGCTGGGAGGAACCTAACATACTGCATTTTACCTTGAAAGAACAGTTTAAAAAGCTGACATTTATTGAGACCAGCTACACAACTGCAATAAGTGGTACAGAAAGCTCGAGCGTCAGGAGATAAATGTTTGGCAGGAACAACAAGTTTACTTCGTCATTCAGTGTAATATTGTAGAAAGATCACTGGGACCACAGTATTGAGATTTTCACCATAAGAGCACAGAAACACAAAAGTACAGGGTGAGTATACTGTCCAAATTACTTACCACCTTTGCAAAGATACTACTTTTATCTCCAACCTGAAAATGCAAAATATATCCTGAACTGTGTGAATGACTGTATGTCTTGACAACCAACTCCCAGGTTGCAATTGATGTGAGAAATAATGAGGCAAGACTAAAAGTATGAGAGACAGAGTGGCAATGTGTAATTAGAGGGTCAATTAAAGGGTCGAAAGAATGTTTTGTATTGCAGGAAAGTTTCACAAAGAGCAATTCTCTTCAGTCCATATTCTCAATAATTATAGCATCAAAAAAATCATAAAGAATTACCTTGGTGATGGAGCTCTTGAACGTTCTATATCCCTCCTCCTCCTTTCCACAGATCTACTTTTAGCTCTTCTCGGTGGGGACTTATTCCGTGAGGGAGACTGAATTGATTTGGTTGCACGATCATTTACTGGAGGTGAGCGACTGCGTTTGGACAACTTTTCTCGGTATTTAGGAGGGCTTACTCTTTTAGGGCTAAGTGCAGGCTTCCTCAATGGTGATCGGTTCTCTTTCCCAGAAGAGGCATCTTTAGATGGAGATTTAACAGATTTTTTCTCTTTTTCAACTTCAGATTTCTTTGACCTCTTCTCCCGATCTCTGGATTTAGATCTCTGATTTCTCTCTCCTGACTTACTTCTTTTTGAGGTTGGAGATTTGGATTTCCTATTTCGTTCTCTTGCTTTGTTTTCATTTGCTACAGCCTTTCGATCTTTTGACTTGCTCCTATCTTCTGTAGGAGTTTTTGATTTTCTATTCTTTTCCAGTGATCGCGTTTTAGTTGAGGTTGGAGACTGCGACCTCTTTGATCTTTCTTTGGACTTGCTTCTTTTGACTGGGCTTTTTGACCGTTTTCTCTCACGCGACATACTCCTCGTTTTTTCCTTTTCTTTTCTATGCTCTGCACTTATCTTACTTTTCTTTTTCTCTGATTTACTATGTTTAGTCCTGTCTTTTGACCTGCTTTTACTACGTCTCTTTGAAATAGACTTTGACTCTGCAGTTTCTCGTTTGCTTTTGTTGTCCCTAACGGGTAACATTTCAGAAACATCACGGCTGGATGTAACTCTCTCACCATTATGTGTCTTCTCATGGATTTCCCCCTCTTCCTCAGAGTCCGATACATAACCCTGTAGAATTAAACCCATGCCTGATTGAACTTTCCCCTCCATCAGTTCACTGTCCAATTCAGCTTTTATCATAGCCCTCTGTTTCTCCAAATCCTCTAGGAGAGCATAATCATCAAATTTAGGTCTTTTTATTAAGAGGCCATCCTCCTTCTCAGGGTCCTCAATCACTTTCCTTTTATGTTTTTTATGCTTGTGTTTATGTTTATGCTTTCGATCCTTGTCTTCTTCAGAACAATGCTTATGCTTCTTGTGTTTACTCCGATGCTTATGTTTCTTTTTCTTGTGCTTAATGGGTTTGTCTGGAGCTGTATCTGGTTCTTGATTTTCTTCTGACACTTCTCCATTCTCCTCATTTACAGTTTTTTCTGATGAATTTTCAGCTTCCATACTGGAAAACATTTTTTTAGAAAAAATTAGAAATGTATTTCAGTAATGTGTGTTCAACTATCAAAACTCAGTAAGACTGTAAGATATTACTGCATATTCAAATTCACTAAGATCTTTCTTACAGTTTCTACTAAACAGATTTTTGTCTACTAATAATCCTTGTATTTGATACAATTGTTTATGTCACATCAATGTTTCAAAGCACGTCACAAATGATTATAGAGTCTAGGCAAACATGGAAGGCAATTTGCACCCAGCAATATCCAACAAACAGCTAACAGAATGACCAATTTGATCTGGAAGATCATAAGCCAGGACAAGCTTCCTCAATGGAGTATCAGCCTGGACTATGAGCAGCTGATTCAGAGACAAGACTGCTACTAACTGTGGCATTCCATTTACCAAAAGAATAACATAAAAATGGCATTAACAAGCAGTCTTCTTAATTCAATTTGACATTCATTGACACACTCTGGCTGAAAAAAACGAGTTATGAATTTAACTTAATACTTGCATTTGATATAGGCCTCATTATGTCATCAAGATGTCTCAAACAATTGTTTGGTGACTGTATTGGTGGGCAAACTATTTCCTGACAAAGTCCTCCAAACAACCATGAAGTGAGTGAGTAATTTTATTTTGGGGAATTGTTGGTCAGGACACTGGGAATAATTCCCTTCTCTTTTCGAGTAGCATCATGGGACCTTTAACATCCACTTGAACAGGCAACGGGACCTTGTCTTAACATTCTCATCCGAAGAGCAGCACCTCCCAACAATGCAGCACACCCCAGTACCTCACCAAAGTGTCAAACTAGACTGAGTTTAAAATTCCCTCATTGGGCTTGAACCACAATCTTCTGATTCAGAGGTGAGTGATGCCAACTTAAGGCTGGCACTATGCCATGATCGGTTAAATATTTTAAACATAACAGCATATGCAATTAAAAATAATACTCAATTATTTTGTGAAATGCGTTTCCTGGTGATCCAATTCTAAAAAAAATGCACACTCTGGGTTTCTCAAGCCTTGGATCTTGCCTATCTTATATTGCTTATGTGGCCTGCGAAAGTTTCTCAATGTGACAAATTAGACAATATGGCAATTGGAATCTATGATGCAATCACAAGTTACTGACAAGAAAGTTGGCTTTTAAATCTGATTTTCAATCTAGATTTTCCACTGTAAAACAGGTCTATGATAAGAATGTTTTCAGCCCATGTCCTAATCCTGAAAAAAAACACAATGTAATAAAGCTTGCAAACATCAAAAATAGCTCCAGTAATACTAATTTTTACTGCTAAACCACTAAAGGTTTTAAACATTTTTTTCTGGATTAAACTGACTTAAAGCTAATGAACATACTAGACAATAAAGACTTAATATGGATATGACTTAGGCAATTCCCAACCCAAAAATTGTAATAGAAATTTGTATTGGTGGGCCACATAGAAATTCCACAGTCAAGTGAATTCATTTTAGGTTTAACTCCAAGCATCCTGGAGTTAAACTTCCACCTTCAACATGAAGAGGGATCACAAGTAATACAAGTTATATGCAACAATTATAACTACACTTTTGGAAGAAAATGGCAAGATAAGATGGAAGAGAGTACAGGATAATTAAGTCTTTCAAGATGGAGCTTAGAGCATCTCATCCACCATACAAATACTACGGTGAAAGACCCATATTTTCTAAACATCTGAGGTCCATTTAGTCAGACCTACCATACATTTGCCTACTAAGATCAATTTTTCTGCCCAACTAACTGCATACTGACTCAGTGCAAATAACTTGTTCATCTTAAGACCTACATATTTCTGGTTTGAACCAGTAATACACCTTAAACAAGGATTTCTTAAAATTACTGTTTGGAGTTAAACTTTGCTGTCACAGATGGAGAACTGAGCAGCAGAGTCTTACCCCACATTATTGTACCTCCTTTGATATTCTACACAACTGTGATTGAAAGCACAGCCACGTGAGGGAAGGAGAAAGCGTCACATTTCAATCTTTCTGTGCTTTGGGACGTCCTCCCAACATGAAAGGTGCTCTATAAATGTAATTTTGTTGTTGTTTCTGGAATCTTTTTAACTAATTATTAATCTATATCCAAAGTGCATGACACATAAAGAGCCTCTTGGCAGCTAGCATTTGTTCAGAAAAGCTTTTCCATTACTGTATTAGTTATTTATGGTACAACCCGTGTGCACTAACTACTATAGTTAGAAACAGAATTCACCTTAAAATGGTTGTTTGCCACTGTTCTAATATCAGACTACTGTAGGAAAAAAAACTATACGTAGTTATGCTTACCTGGATCATCTATCTTTATTTGTACCATAAATTCCAAGTATGTTTTTGCTTGCCTGATCCCCATATTTCTCAAGGGATTTCACCACCACTCAGCCTAGTTTTATTAAGTCTACGCTATAAAAACTACTGCCTAAAAATGATGCTTATTTAACATTGTGATGGATTGTAAAATTATTGGAAGACTCTGTTCTTTCCTCCCCCTTCCCTAATAAAACAAACTAGCTGCATATTGCAACATGTATATTGCAAAAATAACCAGAAAGTACACCATCACCCTTAACCTCCAGGAAAGAAAAACGCATAGTAGACAAAGAATGCAACATTTGCACCACTGTTGCAGTACTGGAAATTCAACATCCAGACTCTTGCAACTCCTCCTGTTTTTATCTTCTATAAACATAAACAGAAAATTAAAATGCTCAACATTTGCTGTTGTTCCAACCTGTTTCAACAATCAGTTTTGAAGCATTTCCTCTGACGACATCACTCTGCTTGCTAGATTTGAGTAGGTACGCAAGTCCCACCTACTGTGGGGATGGGATTAAACTCAGCAATGTTCAACACGACAAATTAAAAAAAACATGGCAATTGTTTAAACTACCTGAAACATAATTCTTTAAATTTTACTGTAGCCTTACTAGAACAATCTGGACAGAATCAGCTTTACAAAATGGAGCCTTTTTCAATTTGTCTAATAAGTAGTTCTGTCCGAATTGTAAGTAATATTCAAATTGATATTCCTAATGGGTGCTAACTTTTACTTGGAATTATTCAAAATTAGCCTGAGAATGAGTAATATCTCAGGCTCTTGGGTGTTTGTCGCTGAACCAATACTGTTTAAATTTGGAATTTCTTAAAACGGGTGTCCAAACATTTCCATTGCGGACTAGAGCTCCAAGCCTTGCAGCTGAGGACATTCCAGGCCAAGGTTGTGGGTTAAAGTAGTAGTAACACAGGAGTAGGCCGACAGGGAGGAAAACTCCAACCTTTAACAACCTCTTGCTCTTCACTTTGAAAAAATCCCCTCATGACGACCTGGATTGAGTAATTGCTGTCCAGCAAACCAAGTAACAGACATTAGACTCAAACTTCTAAAATCTCATGGTGCCCTATCTGCCTAACTGAAGATTCTTGACAAAAACTCAGTGAAAAAACAGTGAAGTTTAGAAAAATGGTTACTGAAATTATCTGGATTGTGGGTTCTCACTCATAGGTTCACATCCAGGGTTTGGAAACTACCTGGTTTGGATGCAGAGTGCTAAGGACATACCGCTAAAGCTTTGCACCTTCAAAGGATGAAGTCAGTTTGCAATGCATTAGTTTGTGCCCTATTTGTAATCTTCAGAGATTCCGGGTGCGGGGGGGGGGGGGGGGGTGGGGGGGCGCGCGGGATCTAATATAGGGGCATAGAGAAGAATTGAATTGCTGTGGTGGATACAGTGATCAAATACATAAGCTAGACAAGTCAACAGTCAGCATGGATAATTTATCAATGGGTATGTAAATAACAGGAGATTCTTCACAACAGATAAGCACTCGTACAATTTCCAACATGCACAGTGGTATTACCTAGACAAGCAACAATAAGCTTGAGTTTTAAATGGATGAATTTCAGACATGTCGGGTACAATTTGAGGTTCCTGCCTTGGGTTTTGCCTACCCGTGCCAATGTCCCTGGGTATAAACAAGTGGAAAGCAATTCCTAGTTTGCAAACAGTGAGAAGAACATTAATAAATGTAGCCAAATATTTGTAAAGCAGAATCATGTGGACATTAGATACACATCAGTGTTCGGTTCCAAACTACCAAATTCTACTCTGCGTCCAGCTATTATAAATTCCAAAATAAGTTACACTTTTTTTATAAGCAAGACCTTATAATTTGGAATATGAATCCAAATTTAAAAATAAATATGTGGAAACAGGGTTCAATACCCATTGTAACCTTCAACTGTTCCCTTTTTGTGCATGCAGAAAGGTTACTGATAAGTTCTGGAACAAATATTGGCGACAAACACTAAGTACACTATTTTGCAGTAAAAGTACCAAAAACAGCTATAAACATTTACATTGGTGAATTACTAGCTTCTCTTTTGCCTAAACAATATTTTTTGGTTAACTGTCTGGCTTATGGATATCTATAATTGTGCAAAGCAGAATTTCATATATGCACGCCACCAATGAAATGAACTCAGGCTTGCCTGATTCCAATCATATTTGGCCCAGGTTGGCAAAAGCCATATTTCATTGCCGGGCACGTTAACTTGTAACCAACTCAGCTACAGAAAGCTCCCTGCTTACCTCTCTCTGCCTCCTCAGAGGATAATTATTTGTTTGTCATGGGACCAGCTAGTGACAAGCAAATGTTAAAAGATCCATTGTACAATGACGTTTACATGTTAGCACACCAAAGACACTCTGTTTATTAGATAAGACTGGCTTATTTTAGCTCTTAAATCTTAGCTCAGTTATTAATTCTACAATATGGATTGTGGCTTACTTATGGTGATATTACTCACTGCTTTCCATGAAATAGCATTTTACATCTTCAATAACAGTGGGCAAGGGCATAATTTGGAACAGTGGCAAGCTATATACAGCAGAATGTTGCAGGTCTGAACGTGAAGAATAAATTGATCTCAGATGTGGTAGCAATTGGGGATGATATATTTAACTCTTGGCCATAACATGACTGAGCCAGGAAACTGGCCCAGTCTCCCAAACCTATTATCCTTACTGCTGCTAGAAAATAAGGAATTGTAAATATTGGACAAGGATAAGATTGGGAATCTACTGCACTCCACCCACAACCAAAGACAGCTAGACTCAACTCCATCAATTTTCATCATCTTTGGGGTACCAGGTGGTACCTAAAAAAGAAATAAATTGAAGAATTACAAATATTATAGAAATAGAATCCTTATTTCCCTCATTTCTATATTCATCGCTAATATCAGTAACCTCAAATCACTATTTTACAGCCAATAATTAATTAATGCATTCATTATAATCCACTTTTGGGGGTTGAACATACTTAAGTCCTTTTTAAAGCTAGAAAGGTAGGGAGAGAGTACCGATGGAAAATGTCACTATGTATTTACCACAGCAATTGTGAAACTATGAAAAGTATCTCACAAAGAATGTACTTCCACTTGTCATAAAACAATTGTGCACTTTTAAGAATCAGTAAACTAGATTTTTATTCAATTAAGTTGTTTATTTTCATAAATTAGCTATTAATTTTTTATAGTGATGTGTGTTCAAGGATTGCTAATTGTGTTTGAGCATCAGTGGTAAAGTCACACACGTCCACGGAATTGGATTTTTTAATAGTTAGTCTTGGCTGACACTACAGTGCAGCGCTGGAATTGCTGTCTTTCAGATGAGATGCTAAACCAAGGTCTCATATCTGTTTGGGTGGATGTTAATTTATGCATCAAAAATAGAAGGGAGCTTCTCCCCATGTCCTAACCAGCAATCCCAGATTTGAAAGTGTCTCACTTAGTGGCTATTATTTTGTGGAAGGGACATCGCTGTGCGCAACTTGGCTGCCACATTCATCTACAATTACACTTTAAGGAAAATTTTGTGCAAATGCTTGGATTTGATATCACAATTTATCGCATTTCAATGGGAGAAGGTGTATCAAATCCAAGCATTTTTATTATAGCTCTAATTTTAACAATTAAAATTTATTGCTAGAGATAGAAAATTGGATACAGAGAGAGTAAAGTGCAAGTGGAAGAATCAGTGAAAGGGAGTGGCAGGCAGAGGACTGGGAATGTGGTACTACAGTGACATAACTCCTGATGAATTTTTTTTTTAAGTTAGCATCACAGCTGATCTGTATTTCTAAAGTTAAATTATCGTTATATCCAATACTGCAAATGGGATGCTGGCCTAAGGAGGTGTTACTCCAATTACAGCACTGGTCAGACCTCAGTTGGAGTACTGTATTCAGTTTTTTGGATTCAATCTTTGGGAGGATATATAAGCCACAGAGGGTATCTGGGGCTATATTCCTAAATGTAGGTGGTTAACAGAGGTTAAATTGAGTTAATTAGAATAATGAAAGGAATTTGCAGGATAGAAGACATTTCTTCCTTCAGGTAGATTCACAATTGCATAGCCTTAAAATCAGAACTAAACAGTCAGTTCATTTTTCAGAGGATTGTGGCAATGCAGAATCAATCGGGCTGTTTAAATAGCTAGACAGATACTTCAACGGTAGAGGTATTGAGGTGTATGGCAAAAATAGAGTAATGGAATAAAATCTCTCATAATGTCTAATAGCTGGTGGAGCAGGCCACTTAATGAGGGCTCAAACCCAGGTTTCTCGGATGTCAAATGACCAACTGGTGACTATTTAATGGGCTGAATAATGGGCTGAATGGCTTTTTTCTGTGCACAAATTTCTGTGTTTCTATAAATAGCTCACAAAGATTGTGTTCATATCTGGCTTGTTTTTGAGTTTGATAAATCCCAATTTTCACCAAATTTACTGGTGGGGAGTGGGGGAGAGAAGAGGGAATTGATGGAAAAACCCCATTCCCCCAACCCTCAATTTTATCCCATTTAACACATGAAAAAAACTAAGGTTTTTTTTATTTTGCGGATAAAAAAGACAAATGATTATTATGTACTGTGCAACTCCAACGCTCTAATTATTCAACACCCAACTCATCATGTTTAAGAGTATCCAAACCAAACGGAGAATTCCATGCATCCCACTTACACATGGAAAGATACTTCTTGGAACAGAATGTGCACTCTCCCTGGAGGGATGTATCCTGCTTACCTAAGTATTAGGCGCAAGTTGGCAAAATCCAACGCTTGGGGATCCAAGTGTGCGTTGGGATACCGATGGGTCTAACCAGTTAAAACCCTATAGTTTCTCATTAATGGCACTGTCTGGCAAGCTCTCCTGCTGCTTGTCCAATCTGCGGAGTCCTGTAACTCAGTGGTTAGAGCACTCGCTTTCCAAGCGAGAGACCTGAGTTCAATTCCAGGCAGGTCAGGGCGAAACCTTGGGCAAGTTTCCTTACTCCACTGCACTGTGCAGCCCATCAGCAGTGCTTTAGCAAACTGGAGACCTGTCTGGCTCAGGAACTGGAATACCAAGATCGCCATGGAGAGTGGGCTCGATTCTGGTAAAACGCGTCACCTTGGAGCCAGTTCAGCTTCAAGGAGACCCCACTTACCCCCCCCCCCCCCGGAAAATAGACACCAGTTGGTCATTTGACATCCGTGAAGCCTGGGTTTGAGCCTTCATTAATGGTACAAACTTCACTGCAAGCTTCCTGGTAAGAAAACAGCTCAGCATGAAATATGTGAGAGCATTACTACTACCTACTCTGCAGCCCATAATCTGTTCTAAATTCAGCTATGCACAGTCATTACTCAATCCACAACGGTTTGTGGGACACTGCTGTGCACAATTGGCTCCTGCGTTTGGCCCACCAAATACAGTCACTACACTTTACAGTATAGTCTGTGAAGTTCTTTGAGACTCCTCAAAGGCTTGACAAGACACTATATTAAATGCAAGGATTATTATTATTAGATTACATCCTCTCCAGGCCCCCCAGCAACTTTAAAATAACTGAATCCTCTCAGATGTGAGGAGGCCAACTTTAGACAGTTCGTTCCCCCTCCACCCCTTCAAAAAAAAGTGAAAACGTGGGTGGACAAGAGGGGGTGGGGGGAGACATTTAGGAGCAGGAAAGAAGTAGGAAAGGAGAGAAAAGCCTCACACCAATAAGGAACACAACAACAACAACAAAAAATGTATTTTATTAAACGGACGAAGGTTAAAGAGCGTGGATTTGGAAATGGAAAGTAAAAGGGAATGAAGAGAGGGGGAGAAAGCAGCAGGAAGGAGCAGAGCCTTCAAAGCCTCTGCGGGCAGTGTGGCCTGGGCTCCCCTGGCTGCTCCTCACATGCTCGCTCGGGGGGCCGCGCAGCCGCTTCCCCACCAGCTCCTCCCGGGAGGGAGCGGGTCAACCCCGGCAGCTCACACACACACACACACACACAGCGAAGGGAAGACTCGAGGAGAGGTGGGGGAGCAGCGCTGGGGCCTCCGCGGTCTTATTTAAACAGGACCGAGGGGGGGGGAGGAAGAGCGGGCGGCGCGGCCTGGCCTGGCGCGGCCTGGCCTGGCCTGGCCTGGCGCCGCCACACGCGGGCCCCGCCGCTCAGGGACGTTTTAAACCCTCCTTCACCACCACACGATTCATCTCCGTCCCGCCGCCGTTGCATCGTTTTTTAAATATATATATACATATATATATACACATCATCATTATAATATCTCTTACTCGTCCTCCAAGGTGGCCGTGAGCCGCTCGTTCTTGCTCCAGTCCTCCTTTTCCTCCTCCTGGTTGTGAACCTCCGCCATTTCACCGCCGCCGACGCCGCCTCCTCCTCTCACCATCCGCTCCCGCCCCACTCCACTGCTCCGCCAGTATCCCGGCATGCAACTCGCCGCCGAGGCCGCCAGTATCCCGGCGTGCAACTGGGCGTGCCCACCGCTCGCGCACGCGCTCTCTCTCTCTCTCTCTTCCCACCACCCGCTCTCACATTGTACTGTCGTCCGTGCGCAAGCGCAGTCCGACGGGGTGGGCGGGACGCAGGCAGCAGGTGTGCAGGGTGAGGAGTCAGGGGCAGTGCTCAGGGGCAGTCAGCGGGTGGGGCGGGGAGAGCTGCTGCAGCAACTCAATCAATGCGGAAGCGTATCGCAAATTGTGTGGAACCATAAGCAATGTCTGAATATTCATGTGCATATAAACTCATAGCAATGAACCTTCCCCCCCACCCCTCCCCCCACCACGTTCCATTCTCTTCCCCAGTGGGGAGGGTCAGTGCTCTCCTGATGCACCGAGAAACGACCACTTACCCAACCAGACGGACGTAATGGCAGGCGAACCCCAAGATCTCTCAAACTGTGAAGCCCTTTCTCCCCCCCCCCCCCCCCCCCCCGTTTCGCCCACAAAAATATATAGTCACTACACTTTACAGTATATTCTGAGAAGCCCTTTGTGACCTCATGAAGACATGATAAGACACTATTATCAATTGCAAGGATTATTATTATTCATATAATTTAGCAATCCACACCACCCCTCGTGCTTGGAAGTTACTTCGAGTGACGTGAAATGTGAGAAGAATTCTATTCCGCTGAATTACCCTCAATGTTACAAAGAGCTTTCGTGCTCTGTCTCTCTTGTGCACGAGAGAGGTTCAGTTGAAGAAGGCCCTTCTGTCATTTGATCTTATCCTTCCAGAACACATGCCCTCTCTTCCCAATATAGCATTAAATATTGTGATTTCTTATTACCGAGAGTAATCCCTCAAAAAAAAACCAATAATAGATTGGTCATTTTCAATCCACCACTGTTTGTGAGACATTCCTATGAGCAATTGGCTGCCGCATTTCGCCCACAAATATACAGTCAATTCACTTTACAGTCTTCTGTGAAGTGCTTTGCGATGTCTAGAAGACGTGAAAAGTGCTATATCAAACGCAAGGATTATTGGAGTCCTGTAGCTCAGTGGTTAGAGCACTCGCTTTGCAAGTGAAAGACTTGAGTTCAATTCCAGGCAGGGTGAAACCTTGGGCAAGTTTCCTTACTCCACACGCCTAATAATAATCCCTCCAAAAGAAAAACAATAATAAATTGGTCATTTTCAATCCACGACTGTTAGTGGGACATTGCTGTGCGCAATTGGCTGCCGCGTACGCCCACAAATATACAGTCAATTCACTTTCAGTATATTCTGTGAAGCGCTTTGGGACATCTAGAAGACGTAAAAAGCGCTATATCAAATGCAAGGATTATTATTATTATTATTATTTACAGCACAATAGAAACTTATTTTATATCCCCCCTACCCTCTGAGCATATACATTTTACATGGTTAAGGTGACCATATTTTGTAAACAAAATCCAGGGACACATAAAGAACTTAAACTCACCACAGTTCCTGATGCTGGCAGGAATGGAGCAGCTTGTTGGATTAATGGCTATATTTAATAATAATCCTTGCATTTGATATAATGCCTTGTCACATCTTCGAGACGTCTCAAAGTGCTTCACAGAATATACTGTAAAGTGGATTGACTGTATGTTTTGTGGGTGATATTTCTCTGTTCATCAAGTATTTCACTGATGAGTGTATCTGTTTTAGAATTTTATTGTTCTTGCTCAGTTTGTTGCTGAATTCAAGACAGGGTACATTTGGCCATGGACACCTTATCCGGATACTGTTCCTGGAAATCGGAGACACATTGAGTCAATATATCAGTCAATGGACATTCAATTAGAATCAGCAAAATCCAAATTCATGTAAAGATACAACACAATACAAAATTACATTTGTATAGCGTCTTTCATGTCGGGAGACGTCCCAGGGTGCTGGACAATCAATGTTTTGGACCTGAGCTGAGGGTCAGGCTCAAAGAGGGTGGAGGGCAGGGGGTAAGGAAGGTGACCGAAGGCGCGGTCGAAGAAGAGGGTCTTGAGATGGGTCTTGAAGGAGGCAAGGGAGGGGGCAAGTTGGGGGGACTGGATGGAATTCCGGTAGAGTGGGTGAAGGCCTGATCGCCAATGGCCCTCCTCATCTATCTGTAATGCCAAGAATGTGGAATTTTACTCATATGGAGTGAAAAGCATTCACCTTAGTTCAAAAGATAGACTGCATTAATGTTTCTCAATCATAACTACAATTCCGTATTGTTTAAATACAATTTTAATAAAAACCACTTCTACCATTACCCAAATGCATTGCATGGTACTTTCAACAGCATGTCTTCACTCTTTGAGACTGTTTCTCCCAAGCTACAATGTGCAACTGTGACTTTTTCACTTTTGAACAGCCCTGGATGTAGCCTCATCTTAAAAACAAACTTATTGCTTATTTGTGAAATATGAGTAAAATAACATTCAACTTCACTCAAATAATCTAATGATATGGTTACTGCGTTATTATTTTCTTTGTTGTCAGTTACCTATAAATTAACAACAAACAACAAAATTACATTTGTATTGCGCTTTTCACGTTGGAAGGAGGTTCCAAGGCGCTGGACAATCGGTGTTTCCGACTTGAAAATAACTACTGTATTTTACTTTATTTAAAATCACAAGTTAAAAAGCAACTTTAATGTTAAAGGTTTGATTGTTTTTACTTTCTAGTTCAGTTAGTAGCACTCGCATCTCTTAGTCACAGGTTGTGAGTTCGAACCCCAAGTCAGGACTTGGAACTCTTAGAGTCTAGGCTAATGCCAGTCAAACTACGTTCCATCAAGAAGCCGCTCCCGGAATATTCGCTCAAATCTGAGTAACTGTGTTCGATCGGTAGTGTGTTTCCAGGTTTCTCTTGATTGAATATTTCTTGATGTACAGCATAAAGCAAGAAATATTCAATTAAGAAAATGTATTTTGGTGGCCGACTAAAAAGATTGGCCACCACTGGTCTAGGCTGATCCTCCAATGCACTATTGAATTGTTGGTGATGCCGTCCTTCTGATGAGTCATTAAATTGAGGTTCTGTTTACCGGTTCAATTGATTTTAAACATCTTATGGCACGAGTTAAAAAGAGAAGGGAGGTTATCCCAGTGTTCTGGTCAACAGACCCCCAAATAAAATTGACTATTTGAAGGACATTGCTGTGTGCAAATTGGCTGCCACACTCGCCTACAAATATATACAGTAGCTACAGTTTACAGTAAATCCTGTAAAGAGCTTAGAGATATTTTGATGATGAGAAGGCACTATATCAAATGCAAGGATTATTACATTACTTTGTCTTTCAATCAAGAGGCAGTGAAACAGTTATGTTGTTCCACACACCATCTTAATCAATTGCTTCTCTACTTAAGTAACCTCCATGGTTCTTTCTTGATGGTTTCAATAATATCACACAAAATCTAGAACAGGGATGCCTCTAACATATCCTGCATTTTCCACCTTGAACAAAAAAAAGGTGTTGTTTCCAATTTAGCTTATCAGCAGAGCCAGATCAACTGCAGTCTTAACTGCCATTCATATGTCTGTGAGCTGATAAAAAACAGACCTTTGCACATGCCACCTGCTTCGGATAAGTCGCCTTCTGGGGTTACACCCATCTAAGCGTTTGATTACATCAGAATAGAACCACAACTTCGAGACAGCTCCACTGTCTGCCTGTGTCAATCACTGGCTTTGTTGTGTGTTTGCACTTCCTGATCATGGGCCTCAGGTCACACTGCTCGTGTTAACAGTGCTTGATTTAATTGTATTATACAATGGCAGATTTAAGGATCATTCATAATTATGCATTTTATCAGACTTACACTGTAGCATAGCATTTAAGAATCTGAAATCGCTATCTTCAAACCTGTTTTGAAGTTTTTAATATCATTGATACCAGCCCAATCTAAGATACAGTAAGTAGTGATATTATTAAACTTAAAAAGATTGTTATGTTTGTATTTCATTTCTGATTATCTCATTTTAAAACTGGACAGCTGTTGAGATTTTGGTTATACATACCTGTACATACCTGACATTGGCACCTCTAGTAATTATTTGTACACAGTGTTCATAAACAATATCGGACCGAGTGTGCTGGAGGCTAAGACTTTAAATTTGAACATTTCGATACAAGCAGAATATGGGGCGCTGCAGTGTATCTGATCACCATGCAAAACAATCTTGCTACAATGTTTAAGAGTTTATGTGATTAACAACATTATTCTTGTGAGGGGAGCTAGAATTTTCAGAAATGCAGCTGATACCTGACCTAGTAGAGAGGAAGGTCTAAAATCTTGGAATAACTTGTGTTACTAATCACATAATAATAGTTGACTGCCTGTGTTGCACTTGGAAATTGAGGGTTAGGAGATTGATTGGAGGGATTACCCTGCAGGCAATATGCTTGAATCAGTCTTTCTAACCTAATTTCCCTGTACAGTACAAGCTCAATTAATTATAGTATTGTGATTCAGTCTTTTGAAGCTGTTGTTGGAATTACTTCCTTAGTATGTAATTTTACTATATTGATTGGTCTCACGGATTTTAGCGTTTGTGCTGAGACCTTATTTTATAGGATTAGAACAAATGCATGTTGTAGGGACTGCAATTTTTTATGTGGGGAAGAGCTGAATGCGTTGTTTTTTTAAAAGTTTTGTAAATAAAGATGCTAGTATGTCTAAACGCATGAAGTAGCATCTCTAGATGTTACATTCTCAGGGGGACGTAAAGCAGGCAAGTACCCGACAAGCAGAAAAAGTGGGAAGGTTGGTAAAGTTTTGGTAGGTGACAGAGGTAGGGAGGAACAAGACTGTGGAGGGCTTTAAAAGTGAGGACTGGGATCTCAAACTCAATCAGCTTGGGGAGGGAAGCAATGAAGCCAGGGGAAGATGGGGGTGATTGGGTCACAAAAGTTGGTGCAGGGAAGGACATGAGCTGCAGAGTTTTGAATCATCTGCAGCTTGTGAAGGAAAGAGCCAGGAAGTCCAG